CAATGTAAAATTAAGGCGCTAGAGAACGAATTGGCGCAGATCAGGCAGAACAATGTTGCATTTATGAATGAGATTAGAAAACTCAGGGAAGAAAATGATTTTCTGAAAAACGGAGGGGTTACACGCAACGAGGAAACCTCACAAGTTATAATGAAGGAAAAAGGCGCAGCAATGGAGGAAGAGGTAGCAGCCCTCACCCTGTTAAACGTAAACCAGAGAACGCTCCGATTAAAAGCGTGGTAAAGAAACCAAAAGCAGTGGCGACGCCACAAGAAAGACAGGAGGAATTCGCAAACACCATGGAAGCCAAAATGGAACAAATTGAAAAAAAATTGCAAACTAAGCTCGAACAACAAGAAGTTAGATTTGAGGCAAACATAGAGGCCAAAATTGAGGAGCTAGGCAAGACGATATTGCAGAAAGTGCAGCAAATGGTGGCTGATTTCGACGCCAAGCTAGCAATATGGGGATCGCAGTCAAGTGGTGGGGGCCCAGTTAAGACGTCTTTTAAACCGTACGCTAGGACCTCGGTGCCCACCGAGGGATTAGAGAGCCTGTAACGCCGCCATGGACAGACAAAATAGCTACACGATTTGGCAATGGAATTGTCGAGGATATAATCGAAAACGATACATTTTGCAACAACATCTTAAAGACACCAGCACCCCGGATGTTATAATGGTGCAAGAAACGCACGGGCTGGTCAAACTGTCGGTATATAAGTCATTCGGCAGTGCTGATGGGGAGACAAAGGTATTAGCAACGTTGGTTAAGCGAAATCACGCGGTGGTGCAACATGACACGGAAATCAAGGCAATAAATCACATTCTCCTCGAACTCATACCCACGCGAAAAACAGAGGACAGTCTTTTCGTATTGAATATTTACAGCAGTCCTAAATGCAGAAAGCACAAATTCCGCACGCTGTTTCGAAAAACCCTCGCTATAACGGGCAACCGGGCGCTAGTGATTGGAGGAGATTTCAACGCCCCACACGGTGCATGGGGATACAGGATCGAAACCCAGAAAGGCAGGAACTTGTGGTTGGACGCACAGGAGGAGGGCCTGACGCTCGTGACCGATCCATCCATTCCTACAAGAACAGGTACTAGCGTTTGCGCGGATACCACGCCAGATTTGACGTTCACCAAAAATATACTGGACACGCAATGGACCAATACGCAACATGACTTGGGAAGCGATCATTTTATACTTGAAATAACGGTGAGGGCAGGGCCGCGGAAGGCAAAAGGCAGACAACTTAAACTTGTCGATTGGGACAAGTTCCGAAACATCAGAGAGGAGCCCGACGAAATGATACGGAGTATTGAGGAATGGACCGAAAAGTTAAAACGAGACGTGGAGGCTGCTACGCAAACGGTGCCACCGGAGGCGCAGCTAGAGTATGTAGACAATAAGCTTCTCCACATGTGGGAAGCTAAGGAAGGTTTACAACGGAGGTGGAAAAACCAAAGGCACAACCGGACACTTCGTAGAAAGATAGCTAAATTGAACAGAGATATAGAGCAATACGCCCAGCAGCTGTGCAGACAACAGTGGGAGGAAAAGTGCAATGACATGGACAACCAGATAGGAATGGCGAAAACGTGGACCATCCTTAGACATTTGTTAAACCCGGACGGAAACAAGTTGGCAGAAAGGCACAATATTAATCGGTTAATACAAAGATATCAAGGTACAGAGCAGGATTTCCTGAATGAAATCAAGAAAACATACATCTCTCAAGCGCTTCCCGTTACACACCCTGATTACACAGGGCTAGCAAATGATGATTTAGACAACGAGATCGGGGAGGCAGAAGTGAGGGCCGTCTTGCAAAAACTCAATACTAGATCAGCACCTGGACCAGATGGCATAACTAACAAAACGCTACGCAATTTGGATGACGAGTCCATAACTAAGTTAACTGAATTCATTAACGAATCATGGAAGGCAGGACAGATTCCGCAACAATGGAAGACGGCAAAAATCGTGTTAATACCCAAGCCAGGCAAGCGAGTGCAGATTTCGGACTTGAGGCCCATATCTCTCACATCTTGCGTGGGGAAACTCATGGAGCACGTGATTCTGGAGAGGATAACTACCTATCTAGAGGACCGGGATGCGCTTCCACCCACAATGATAGGGTTCAGGAGGAACCTCTCAACGCAAGACGCAATGCTACAGTTAAAACATCAGATTATAGATAATCCGGGAACAGCGACAAAGGCCATTCTAGGGTTAGACCTCAAGAAGGCCTTTGATAATGTAACCCATGCAACGGTGCTAAAAAGGGTAAACGATCTAGATCTGGGACAACGGACGTACAATTACGTGCGTAATTTCCTGACGGGAAGGAAGGCAAAGATCATGATAGGGGACCTAGTTTCAGAGGAAATTGAGATGGGCAGTGCAGGTACGCCGCAAGGCTCGGTATTATCACCTATGTTATTCAATCTGGCTCTAATTGGACTGCCAACCAAACTCCAAGCAATCGAAGGACTGAATCATACTATATATGCAGATGACATCACCCTATGGGTGAGAAGTGGTAGTGATGGCGAAATAGAGGAAACGCTTCAAACAGCAGTCGAAACGGTCGAGCGGTATCTGGAAGGTACTGGGCTAGCCTGCTCTGCGGAAAAATCAGAGCTGTTGCTGTACAGACCTACTCGTAGAGGTCGCAAACCAGGCAACTGCCTGCAAGGTCTTGCTCATAGAGAAGAAATACAGTTAAGAACAGCCGATGGAAAAACCATACCCATAGTCGACAGGATCAGAGTACTGGGTCTGCTCATCGAAGCCAAGGGCAACAATGGAGAAATCCTCAGGCGATTGGATGCAACTGTAGCCCAAATAATGAGACTCATAAAAAGGATAGCAACTAAGCACAGTGGCATGCGGGAGGAAAACACGATAAGGTTGATACAGGCATTCGTGATTAGCAGAATAGTATACGTAGCGCCATACTTAAAATGGCAAGTCGCGGAAAAGATCAAGCTAGACTGCCTCATTCGAAAAATATTCAAACTAGCTATAGGGCTACCGATTAGCACAAGCACCGACAAACTGTTACAGTTAGGCCTGCACAATACAATAGATGAGCTTATTGAGGCGCAGCGTACGGCGCAATATGAACGTCTCTCTAAGACACGAGCAGGAAGACATATTCTAGAGCGACTAGGTATAACGTATCACACGCAACACGGCGTTAAGGTGGACATTCCAAAAGAGACCAGGGAAACAATGATGATACCACCCTTGCCAAAAAACATGCACCCCGAACACAATAAAGCTAGACGAGAGACAAGAGCAAAACAAATACAAAAAAAGTTCGGTAATGACAAGGACGCAGTTTTCGTAGACGCTGCTCGATACAAGCGCAAACGGGGGTTTACCGCAGCCGTAATCGATAGCAACAAACGCTGTATGAAATGCGCGACGATACGCACCACAAGTACCGAGACAGCGGAAGAGGTAGCCATAGCGCTCGCTGTAGCTCAGACAAACGCAACCGTGATAGTCAGTGACTCTCAAACGGCAGTGAGAAACTTTGCCAACGGCCGCATCTCCCCGGAGGCACTACGTATTATCAAAGGAGGGTGTCGAACAAGCCCCAGAAATACATATATTATATGGACACCTGCTCATGCCATCGCGGGGGACAGCAACAATGGGGCTGTACATGACGCAGCTCGAGGGCTCACCGACCGAGCTGCCCTCTCAAGTGCCGCCCCAACCTCCTCCGGTGATTACGGCGTTTCAGACGAGTGGGAGTGGGAAGACAGAATGACCAGATACAATGAAATTACAAAGCATTATAGATTACAGAGGGGCGTATTCCCGCCACCTCACCCAAAATTAACAAAAAAACAGTCTGTCGAATGGCGGCAGTTACAAACTAGGACATATCCGAATCCTGCACTATCGCACATTATATATCCTGATATATACAAAACGGACAGGTGCAAGCGTTGCGACTCCAGAGCCACTCTGGAGCATATGTTATGGGAATGTAGAGGGATTAGTACTCATAACAAGTATGCGGCCTCTGCTGACAGCCTTCGCGCGCGCTGGGAGGCCGCAATGCTCAGTTCCGTCCTCGAAGACCAAATGTGGGCCGTCCAGCGGGCCGAGGAAGCCGCCAGGATTCAAGGACTCCTGGCCGTAACCTAGGCGGGGCCAATCGCCCACCCCATCTACTCGCCGGACTCTGAATAAAGTTCTTTCCTCCTCCTCCTTTCGGTAGCGCTAATTGCAGTTACATGCAACGCTTTGTTTTGATTCATTTTGTTTTTTGTTTGCTTTTGTTTCGAAGCGAAAGGTTCAATAGGAGGGTGTCGAAAAGAAATGTTTTTCGTTTCGGTTTTAATTTTTTTCCGACCGCAAAAAAGTTCCGTTCAGTTTCTGTTCCGAAACCGAAAAAAAAAAAGTTTAGTAATGGTTCGTAACGGTTTTTGTCTGTGTTCGAAAAAAAATAGAGTTAAAGTAACGATAAACACATTGGATTTGTGATATATTAGTTACGCTCCTCCATAGAGTTTCGTATAAATGTATGAAACTCTATGCGCTCTTTTGATTAACCCGCAAACTATTCCGCATTGTAAGGCGTCGTTACGTCATCAAAACTAATGCTATGACACCATACGCGGTTTTTCCACGAGCAGCACAGGCTTTATTTAAAATGCGGACCGCGTTCCTCCAAGATTGGTCCGGAGCCTAGCAGCTAGGCTTTCAGTTGTGCAGCCCTATTCTAACGCACTTGTTGGGTTTCGATTTCAAATCTCCGGACTTGGGGAACAAGGGGCATTTTCTTCGTTAGTCGGGGTGCCCGATGTTATCCGCAGCCCTTTCGCATGACAGCTCCCGCTCCTCCCTGATGGCGTCCTCCTCATCTTCATCCTCTTCCTTTCCCGTCCATCCCAGCCGGCACCTCCTCTTTTATTTTTGTCAGTGGCCGCAGACACCGGCAGATGGCGACTCTGTCGATGCGGCGGGCATCCATTCTTGGCTGGGCTGGCTGCCGCCGTGTGGCGATGCAAAATCGTCTCGGAAATTTTACTTCCCGATGACATGGGACCCCCGCCTATTACTCCGATGATCCAGATCATACGCTGCGGCCACGCCCGTCCTGTGAGTAGCCCACTGTGCGGCCTTCTCGATAGATTACTGAATGCTTTCCCCGCGAGCGTAGCCGATGTTCCTTCCCGTGCAATACTACGCGAGAGAGCGGCCGGATCCCAATGTAACTGCTGCCTCCGCCAGTGGCGTATTAATTTGAGGCGCGCTGTCGAGGAGCTTAGGCAAAATACCGCTCGCGTCGATTTTGGGGCGTGTACTGTGCCCTTCGTGCGTGAAATGTAAGGCCCCGTTTGCGATCAACGACCGCATCTGAACGCCTTTGTAAGTGAATACGAAAAAGGAAAAAGAAAAAAAAATGACGGGGGTGCCATTGGAGCTGGGTGTTCCGGTCAGCGCGTCACTCGTCCCTGCTCCGTGCGATACTATTGTAGCCTGTCTGGCTTACAGCCCTGAAGGAATCGTTACTCGTGAAGTGAAAAATGCACGCGGCTGTTTCCTATTTTTGCAAGGCCGGCGCGTGTTCCGGCAACAGCGATAGGTTTCCGTAGCTGATGCTGAGCACTGGTTTCCATATCGTCAGCTGTAGTGGTCGTAGTGCGGCTTGCACGGCAAGTAGGGCTTCTCGCTTAACGTACTGCATGGGTTCGCTTGAAAACAGGAAGAGCGGACGTGTTTTCTGTTTTTGATTTCCCATTTACGCTTTGGTTTAGGGTCTTCCATTCTTGCTTTCGTTGTTAACGGTGCGCTGGTTGCTTACGGACTGCGTGTGTTCGCTGTTTTGCATGCGATGTTTTGCAGAGGCACGGTTAGGTTCAATATTTATTATTCGGAAGGAAAATGGCGCGCCGAAAATCGTCGGAAAAGTGCAACCAGCAACAGAAGCCGAGTACCCTGAAGCAAAAGAACAAGGCCAACAGCGACGATGAGAATTTCACGAGCTTCAAAGATCAGCTCAAAGCTATGGGGCTGACGCTGCGGGAAATACAGGGTGATGGGTAAGAGCCTCTTTCGCTCTTCTCGCGTGGTGCATCTCGATTTGTCTCGGTAATTGGGCTCACGTTTATTTAATTGCTAGATCGGTCGCTGGACTACGTATAGGTTTTTCCACGAAGTCATTTCCTGATTGTTGGTTGTGCCCTTGTTGTGGTAATCATGCCATATTCACAAATAACTAGTGCCGAGAAAACTCGGCAACCAGTTCTACCCTTGTCATTATATGCGTAAAAGTTGTCAGACTGCGTTTCGTACGGCGTAGGCTGCTATCCTTAGCCATCTCTCTGTCCGGAAGGGTACGAGCTTGTACCATATATCCAAGGTACAACACAAATACTGCCAAGAAATTGTATAAAAGCCTTGACTTGCATTGAAATTTCGAACTGACTGCATGCCTACTTTCCCTGCTTCTCGGATGTTGTGATTGCAAAGTGCATTTATATCGGATGTCTAAAGGTACTATGGAATCAAATTTTTTTTTTCGGACGAAAAACTGCACTTTGTGGCTCACTGAATGACATTGCGCTTACAACTCCTTCATTACGCAGGCTTTTGAAAGTGGGTGCATGCATGTATGTTTACCTAAAAACATGCAAAAACAATTAGATGCATGCCTAACTAAGGTGCTCTTCACAACCATGCAGATTCCTCTGTGGAGGTGCTTGCAACTTGGCTGTATAAATTTTCTGGAGTAGCGGAACCAGGCTAATTTAGCTTTTCCAGGTTTGCCGGCATTCTGTGCCTGCTTTGTAACAAATCTTTCAAAGATCAAGTGCGTTTTGCTTACAGCCGATTTTTCGCTAAGAAATTTTTGCGTACCTCCGAATTGCACTGCTTTAGGGTATGTGTCTGAAGCCAAAAAGAAAACAAGGAGGCTTGTTCTTCTATTGGCAATTATTGCTTAACATCCTGCTCTGTTAATTTTTTGCACCATTCTCAGAACGTCTGAATTGTAAAATTATAAGCCAAGCAGCATTCACTTTGAAATATAAACCTTGCTAGGAGAAGGTAACTTGAGAACATCTACATAAACGAGGACATAAGCACAAGGTCTGAACAAATTAATAGGCCTGTAGCTGTAGAGATTAGCAGTGCTAATGTCTAAAATAGTTTTGCAAAAAACGGCCATGATGGAACACTCACAGGCTTTTTCCCTGCACACACTTTGAAAACCATTATGTTTGGAAATTCAGTGGAAATGTCTCTTGCACACAAGAAAATATAGTTGCACTCGATATACACTCACTGTGTGCTATATTGTGTTGAGCATGCTGAAGGTGTTAAGGTACAGTGATACACGTGCCTGTCCTATTTTTGCGTGTGTGTGTTGTTGGTGCAATATAATTTCGAGCCGCAGCGGTGTCTTAAACGTGTCTTACATAACTTGAGCTCGAAGGCCTTTTAGTTGCTTGCATTTTGTTAATTAGGGCATCTATTTTCAGCAGTAAAGCTAAGAGGCTGCCTTTATGCTCTCTTTCTTCAATGCTAAAAAGGAACTGTCTATTCCGTGCTCTCAATGACCAACTCGAAGGCCATACGAGGAACCACCTCAAGTACAGGTTCGAGACGGTACAATACATGAAGGAGCACAGGAACGACTTTGAGCCCTTCGTCGAGGACGACGTCCCTTTCGACCAGCATTGTGAGTACATGGGGGCTGAGGCGGAAGGTTGGGCTAGTTGATATCATGAATAATATGACATGGTTGTAGCGAAATAAAAGACAAGGACGGGAAGAAGGGCGATAGGACTACGCTAGACTTCAACTAAACAAATGAGACGGGAACGTGAAGGAAGAAACATGGGACTACGCTCGACCTCAGCTAAAGCTTTGGTTTTGTTGAAGTCTAGCGTAGTCCAGTGTTTCTTCTTCTCGTCCCCATCACTTACTTCACTACTACTATGTCTTGTTATAAACATGCAAGCTGCATGCATGCATACTAGGGATATCAGAGTTAGAGGTCCATTGGCATCACCTAAGACATTACGTTTGGCAGAGCAGCAATGTCAGAATCCCAGCCAAAACTTCTGACCTAAAATGAGCTGCAAACGCATGCCTATTTGAGAAAGTGAACTATCCGAAATACTCAAGAAGTGCTTGACATCATGAAAATGTAGAAGCACTATTGCCTGGAGCGTTAGTGCAAATTCTCTGTAGGAAAGACGGCAATCTCTGTGGGCAAAGCTGCAGGTGGTGAGACATGCATACAAGTCTTTCGCCGCATCGACAGTAGTCTTTCAAGAGTTTTTTCCTGTTCTGAACCACCACCATGTTCAACATTACAACATAAGGTTGTTCACTGGCTAACTCGGGAAGTCTAGCTACATTGATTTTGGGAAATTGCTATGATCATATGAGACAAGCTCTGTGTCTAGTTCTCGGCAACGTGCTGCTAATTTAGCAGCTGTTATGTCGCACTGCTTAGTGCAAAAATGCTTATTTGATTCTCGGCTGTGGTTTCCACTTTTTCAACGGTGTTTAAATAAATGAAATGCCCATTTGCTTAGACTTGGGCACATGTTCAAGAAAACCCAGGTGGTCGAGATTGATATTGATTCTCCTGCACCAGTGTGCCTCACAATCGAAGCGTGGTCCGGTATTGTAAAACCCTAGAATTCAGTTTTCTAAAAGTTTTTTGCCCTGTTGCTAGGCTCGATGCAAGTAAAACAACGCTCGCAACACGTTTTGTGTTATGCACCTGTACCTTGGAATGCTTTTGTGCATGTGTATTTTTTGAAAGGTTTGCTTTGTCTGCCGCTGTGGTGTAGCAGTTACGGCTGCTGACGTGAAGGTCGCTGGTTTGATTCCGGTCACGGCAGTCGCGTTTTGATAGAGGCCCTTTTACATACTGCGGGATGTCGGTGCACATTAACACCAGAAGGTCGGCATTTCCGGAGCCCTCCGCTATGATGTGCCTCACATTCATATCATCGTTATGGCATTTAAAACCCCAGATAATATAATAAGTATTGGCTTTATTTTGAATGGAAGAAAAACATAGTTATAATAGTAACAATGAACGTGGAGGCCAACAGAAATCCAATAATTGAAAACCACACAGCATTGTATTGAATGAAAAAAACACAAAATCAAGAAGACAGCATATTGGAGCAGGGAACAAAGAGGGGTATTTTATGCCTTAGTATACACTAAAACGGCCCTCTAACACTCTAGAGTGTTAGATCATTGAATGGCTTCATTAAGGATTTTAACCGCCTCATGAGTTGGCTTCAGCAAAAAAGTTTAAGTCCGTCAAATACTAGCAGAGAGAAAGCGATTTGTCACATGCACTTTGCGACTCCTGTTATACCAGTGAGCCCGCTGAAACCTAGGCAAGCGGGGCGTGGAATGAAAAAGGGGCAAGTAGCTATGACCATTCATCAGTGCGTGTCATGACCTTGAGCACTTTCTTATTTATATATTTTAGCTTCGAACCCATCGCCCACTTCTAGTGTGAATGCGAGTGTAGTGGTATTCCATGGCATCCGCAGTAACTATGCAGCTCACAATGCTGAAATGTAGACATTAGGTTTGGGGTGAGGTCATTCTATGGCATCAGTTCTAGAGAGATGAACGAGCGAATTAATGTTGACATTAAAATATAATTGTAAGTTACAGGCTGCTTTCACGCTATAATGTTTAGCTCACATGTTCTGAGAAGTGTGAAGAAGAAGCCTCCTTTTCAGGATGTTCAACAATTGATCGCACTGTTTCCTGACCATGCTCAAAAAGTGTTGCAGGGCGCCTTTGAGCAAAACAAATGGACCTGGGCAGACCATGTCATGAGAAGGACAGATAACCAATGGGAACAACTTGAACAGATGCCAAGAAATCAGGAGTGCGGATGCAGATTGCATAAAAAAAGTTTGGTGTAGCCTAAACAGAAAACCTGCAGGCATAAACGAAATTGGCACATGGATGACAGTCTGGTTTGGACATTATTTGGGAAGGCCTTTTTCTTGCAGTGGCGCTTTAGGTAGGCAGACAGTGATTATGACAGAAGAGCAACACCAAAAGTGGTGGCAACAACTGTATTGAGACAATATACTGAGCCGTGCATTTGCGTTCTCACATCCTGTGGCTGGTGATAATTCATTCACTCATGAATGTGTTATACAAAGCAAAGCTATTAAAGCAGAAACGTGGCTTTAGGAGTGCTTAGCTGGTAAACACACAGTTTGTACGTAAACATTGTCAACTGGAGCTGTTCTAAAGCAGATGCTACAAGCAGGTGGCATCGACACATCCGTGTAAGGTGTGCGCTCATTTGTAGTTTGTCTTTGACAGTCGTGATCGTATTGGCAAAGAAAGGTAACAGGAATTGAGCTTTGCGTAAGTTTTGGTAATTGAGTGTATAGTTGGTCAATTAAATACAGTTTACCTTTTTTAAAATTATTTTGCATTGTTAGAAAGGTTGAACAGTGCATTGCGTCTTTCTTCAAACATGACACATACTTGACTGAGAGTTACAGATCAGAAGACACGAAATCTTGCATGCTACTTGCATGCACGAGTTTGCTTGGGTATCAGCAAGTGCTAAGTGCATAATTGGCTCCTGGGTATGCGAGGCCTGTGTATGTGTTTTTTTTTTAATGTAAGGCTTTCTTTTTTCTGGTGGCACAAAATATTTGAGTTTCCAACATATTCCCCTGTCTTAATAAATGAAAAGGAAAAGGCAGAGGATATACAGTAGTGGGATTTTTTCCGCTAATGTAATTTACAGTTGTCACATTTCTTGTATTGCAGTACATAACCTGGGTCAGCCTGGCACCTATGCGGGCAACGATGCCATAGTTGCCTTTGCCAAGCTTCGTGAGCTTGTAATTGTTATACACCAGCTAAATACTCCCCTGTGGCAGGTGAGTTTGACTGGCATTGTACCACGTATACTCTTTGTCACTTAAGTTTGGTGGAACCCTAAAATATGTTTTTCACTGGACCATCATAAACTAATTTGCGGCAGCTTGGAAACATGTAGCGCAAAAATGCCATTAAAAATGAGAATAAGGGCTGCTATAAAATATAACACTTTATTCACCTATTTGAGGCTTAATTAAGAAAATCACATGCTGTAATCCTAATCATTCTTTTGCTAGATGTTGCACTACTAAGGAAGTTTTTAGTGACTTAGCCATTGGAACATTAGAGTACGGAGAGCTAACACGTGGCAGCATGTTTTTTTCAATACTGCAGTAGAGTTCACTATATCAGAAGCCTATGTTGCCTACAGATATTGTTTCCCGTGAAAACAGTATTATCATGAAATAATAAGAATAAGAACTGCTATTTGTCATTTCTGTAGTAAATGTGCTTGCTGTAAGTTGTGCTGAAAGGTGCACTTGGTTGCTAGAAATGCATCTTAACACGACAAGTATGTATGCTGGTGGACACCTTATTTGGTGTACAGTGATATTTTTGAGTATTTTCATTCAGTACTGTGTTAAAAGGTCATTAAGCAACAAAGGAAACCTTTGATGTACTAGATAGTATTGACGGGAGCATTGCATTGCCGCACTAGTGGTACATTAGATGTGTTAATTTGAAGGCAGCATCTGTGTATTTTGAAGGTAGCAGGAAGTAAATTAAATTGTGCACCAAAGGACTGTAGTAACATTACTGCAGCTTCGTTATAGGATCATGCTTATTGTCACCGTACAGGTTGGCAAGAGCAGTGGATTGAGGCTGCAGTTTGATTCAGATTCACAATGGGGGCAGCCCAAGGAAGAATAATGAAACTACGTAACACGGTCCTGAAATAGGAAGTGGAAGTTTATTTATTGCAAAAAGGGAAAAAAAATGAACTCTGTGCATGTCCTGTGATTTGCAATCAAAATGTCACGGTCCAGGAGCAGCATAAAGGGATCCCTTCTCAGCCATGATCTTGAAATAACTTGCACAAATATCATAATGTTTTGATCAGAAATTAGGTTAGAGGCATGCGTCCTCTGGCAGAATTCCACAATGACTTGCGCAGATCGTTCAGGCATCAAAGATGGTGACATGTGGAGAGGGCACGACTGCAGTTATGACAAAACGTGCGAGCTCAACCCGGATCTAGCAAAGATACCTCGCGTTCAAGCAATTTTAAAAACTGCTACCTGGTATTTGTGGAAACCTCTTTGATATGCAAGGCATCGATGACTTCCCTTCTCACTTCTTCGTCTCGTTACCTCACTGCTCCTTGTGCTGCTGCCATCACGAACGTTCCCAAGAGTGCTAAAAAATTGTCAGTAATATATGTCATGAGACTATGTATTTATATGAAAGTACGTTGCATGGCTACATGGGCATTGAGTGGGTGTGGCAGAAATTATAACCAATTTACATCAAGTAAGCAAAAATATATGCATCGTGGGAAACAAAGAAGTAGTACTATAAAATGCTATGAAAGGCGAATAAAAAAAAAGGGGTAGAGGAGATAAAGACTACAACATGAAAGCCGTCGTACATGTAACTGCGCAAGCAACAGAATGAACACTGAAAACACTAATTATTACATTTGATACGTTAAGTAGAAGGTGTACATCATGTCATGTCGACAGATGTGTTACCTGGAAATCATTTTAAAACAGAAACGCCTCTTTGCAGGTGAAGGGAACTGACAAGCCCAACGCCACGGAGCTCCACCTGTCCTACCACAATGGCGACCACTACAACAGTGTCCGCAAAATTGGCGACAATACTCAGGGTCCCGCATCAATCCGATTAGCTGTAAGCCAACACGAAGTATGAGTGCCCGCCACTGTGGCCCCTCCCGTGTGCTGTGTGTCATTTTCCGCCCTTGGCCTATGTGATCATGCTCGCATTGTGGTAACACTGCCACTGGCAAAATTAGCTGCCATCAGAGTGTGCTTCTCACATTCCTGTTTTACAAAAACCCCATTGTGCAACTGCGGAATTCATCTCTTCCCGTCATTCTTTGTGATTATTTCACGATCCCCTCGTGGCCTTTTCGATGTGCCAAATTGCATGCCAGAAGTGGAGGCTGCAAATGTGTGATTAGGTACACGACTTGTTCAGCGTAGTGTGATAATAGATATTTATATGGTACGTTTGTATGAAGGGATTGTAAATCTTTGTACATATATAAAGCATATATATGAATAATCTCTACAGAGCGAAGAGCGCTAAATTATTACTATCGGCCATTTTTATGGCCTGTACTGCCAATGTGCTTTCAATAAAGGTGATGCGGGAGCCTGGTCTGTGGAGAGGAGAACCTTAACATCCCCTTATGAAAAAAGAATACCTGTGTACTGTGTGCGTTTCTTGCTTGGTTGTCGCTTTTTAGATTGAACTGCCCTGCCGAACTACGCAGCAGTCCACTCACGCATTAGGTCACTAGGTTACCTATGTTAAGATTCAGTTCCAGTGAACTTTCATTTCAGCGATATTCATTTAAATATTGATAGAGACATCACCAAAGTAAGTAATGGCAAGTTTATCGGGCTGGAAACTTGATGTAGCAACTTTGCAACTTCCTGTGCGGGATCGCGGGCACCTACTGGAGGTGTCCACACTATAACTCTAGCATGTAAATAAGCCATACCTTGTTGTCAATGCCAAAACCGCACATGGAGCGGTAGAAGCTGTCCTGATGGGAAATTCTGTCCTTAGCTCATGCAAAAATATGAAGCGCAGGTTACACTAGTTAATTGATAGTGTAAGTATACACCAAGCATGATGCCTTAAAGAGGCCTTGCAACACTTTTCTGAGTAACGATTGAGTGGGTTCACTAAAGGAGTTCATCGCCCCATGAATCGACCGCCAAAATAATGATTAGAATCCGCCAAACACAAGCCGAGTTGGAGGTTTGTCGCTCGCTGTAATTACTTTCTCTCCTCTCGTCCTGACAAGCGGCTGGAAGATAAGCAGAGAGGGATGGCAAGGGGGGGGGGGGGGGGGAGCTGTGTCATGAGCATTATGACCTTCAGCTTTCTAGTTTTTTTTCTTTGACTGAATGGCTTACTTTCAGTGTGATTGCAGTCGTGGGTACCATTTCCTAATGGCCACAATAACTATGCAGTTCACAATGTTCAAATCGCCTAATGGCTTGAAATTTACGTATACGGTGCGGTCATTTAGGTATATGTAGAAAGAAGAGAACGACTTCTCTCTGTCCAAGAATCAACTGCAAATTCCAGGCCGCATACTGCGCTATAATGTTTGGGTTTGTGTTCTAAAGAGCACCGACTATTGATTGGCAGCGTTTCCTGATCATGCTGAAAAAATATTGCAGGGCCCCTGTTAGGGCAAGTGGTCATTGCAATAAGAAAAAAAAAAGTTTCTTTCATAACTTTCATGCAAAAAAGTCAATTTGAAAAAAAAAAAATTGTTTTCGATGAGAATAGTTGCATTTTCGACTCGCTCTTGTCTTTAGCTACACCACGAACTTAGGCAATTTGAAATTTCAGAGTAGTTTGCCTTCAGCAGAAGAGGTTGACACTCTGTGCACTGTTGTAATGGGCAACCGTGGAATGTGCAGATCATGGTATGAGTCCATTCCAAATCAAGCGATCAATTAGAAAGGCGTAAACGACAGAGGTTTAAGAGCCTACGATAAGTAACCCACAGTCTGTTCCAGCTCGCAACTGCAAGGAGAAAAATTGCATACATTTTTGGAAATTTGGAGACATTATTTTCAGCATGCAAACAAGACCACCTTCTGTTTCAATTGTGAATTAAGCGGTTGTGGGTGCAAGAGACACATCCTTAAATAAAGGAGGGAGGGGTAATGTTGGTGGGCATAATGTGGGGACTAACGGTGCGAATCGAGGTGTACTGTGTACTGTTATTGTAGGACTGCTAACCATCAGATCAAGCCATTTTGGGGAAAGCACAGGCTAAGCTATCTCCTCCCCATCCTGCTGTGCGCAAGGTGAAAGTTTTGCTCTATTCCTGCTTGCGGCCTGCTTGCTGATCCTGCCTGCCTTGTGTGTAAATCCTCTGCACTTTCATCTTGGTGATTCTTGCTTAATTATGTCTCCTGGGATTTTATTCTCTGTGTTGTACTGTTGCAGTAGAAGTTTTGCGAACAGAAATTGCTTAACTGGAAACAACTGCCTCTAACTAGGCTGGTTTCGTGTTTGCTCTGCAATGATCTCGATAAATGAAAATGCCTTTGAAAGAAACGCTTTCCTGCTCCTTTCAGGGTCTATGAACAAGAACTGCACTCAAGCCTCGATACAATAAACACGTGTGCAATGATTTGTTGGCTGTAACAAATTACAGTCAACAGTGTTTTTTGCCAGTATCTGTACTTAATGAATATCAGTGACAATGACGGTATGACATGTCAGGTGCAGTTTTGCTTCCACAAAGTTCAACTGTCTTGGTAAAATGTTATGTCAATATGGTTTTTACGTGACATTCTCATTCAGGCACATTAGCAAACACTCCCACATGACACGAGCCATTTGAAAACTCGAGGGCAGGAACTAAAGTATTAATCTGAGTCGATCAGCTTGTACAGCCTATAGCATGCTAAATGAAGTTTTGCGGCTTGCAGAGGAATAACAGAGTTGTAGGACAGTAGTACGCTTTGGCATGCTTGGAAGAACATTACATCAGCCGTTTTAGTGCACCCTACAAATTCCTTATTCACGTATGAAAACCTGCATTTGAATTGTACCTTAAGGACTTGTATGTAGATATATGGATGACACAACCAGTATGTGGAACCAGTGCTGGAGTTTTCACAATGCGTGCAATGCCGCCCTTGTGGTCACAATGCGCACATTCCAGCTAATTGAGCAGATGAGAAAGTGGCTACTAAATGAGGAGGTGCTTTCACTGAGAGCAAAAAGTGCCACAGTTATGCAGAAGTGAGTGAGGACGTTTTATGCCACATGTTACTTTTCTTCTAAGTCCCAAGAACGTGTTGATGGATTGAAGAAGTCATACGAGCGATATGTTCCAATTGAAAAGTTTCTCTAGAGGCTATTTTCTTTAAGCTTTTTGGCCTAAACGCCAGCCTGAGCCATGTGACCTGACTAGTTTACATTTACTGCATATCTAAGCTTGAATGAGATATTTTTGACGTGCTAGCAAGCGTCGTCACTACTGTCCTGGGAACGAGCAGACGGTTCCGTGATAGCTGCAGGGGGTATCACACTGAAATACCGTCATATGAATGTGAATAACATGTCGTTGCAATAAAGGTATGCAATATAAGTTCTGTGCTTTTCACACATCATTGTTGACTTTGCATTTGCACCATAATTTAAGCACCTCAGCAGTGCAATGTAACGAACACCATGATTTATTATGTGCAATTGTGCATTTCATTTCCATCGCAATCAAACAAGTTCACCATAAAAGATGTGAAACAAGTGCTCAACAGTGACCGAGTGAAAAGCCACACATGTTTGCTTTCCTAGGACTAATTGTTGGGCTAGTGCCTTGCATTTGGGTAGAGATAAATTAGCGAGAGAATTGAGGACAACACAAGAAAGCAGACAACTTCACTAGGTTGCGCTGGCTGAATGCTTCTTTATGCGAGCTTAGAAATGCCCGGTTATCTGGTCAGGTGGCTAAGATGTGCAGTGTTTTCTCCCTAGGCATCATGTGACACGGCAGATTTAGGCAGTATACCTGCTCTATGCAGGTTCCTCATATTGATGTTTCAAGTATGAGAATTCTTTGAGCAGCTGCAAAATAGCGCCAAAATTTACAAGAGTGTGGGTGTAGGCCAGTTGGTAATTCGTAATTGGCAAAGGCGGCCGTAAAAGGTACGCAAAACAAAAAGAGCAGGGATGTGAGATTGTACAGAGTATGACCCTCTACTTAGGCACAGCCATGGTTGTGCAAAAATACCCAGACAAAGGTAATTAATGCAGCACTCATTAAACAAGAGTTCCCTAAGAACAAAATCCAAGGACAGACACATGGGACAGGCATATCTGTCCCATATCCTTCACTTTTTTATTCACTGTGCACACCTAAAGTCTTTAGATTTTCTTTTCACTTTGTTGTTAAGTAGCGACAAGCACTGAAGTGCAGTCGTCGAATCTCGTTGGGTGATGCTCATTTGCAGCAGCCATGTCGTTAACTCTTTTGCAGCGCCTGGTAAAGCTACGACGGTGGATTGGCGGGTGGAAAAATATTCATTACGTTAGTTTATTGTCTGGTGAAAGGTGCATAGCTCATGTGCCAAATGCATGTGGCTTTGTACATATTCTAGGTTAGGAGAACATGGTGCCAGATGCTGGCTACATGCAAGAAATGGTTGCGAGAAGAGACAGTTGTCGCTACTTAGGTATGAATGAAAAACCTAGGGACTTTGCATACACCTATAAACAGAAGAATTCACGTACTTGACCGTGAAGTTATGGCTCGAGAATAGGCTCGAGTCTTTCTTAAAAAAGCTATTGAAGTGTACTGCACTTGTGAAAAGCATGGAAAAGTGTTGAGCAAAGATGAATTTGAAAGAGTTGATGATGATGATAGCCTCTATGTATGGCTCACACCCACTTTAGTGCATTGGCCATGAAACGAATAAATTATAAAAAGTGGTGACATGAGAATTCTATGACTAATGAATTATAGAATAGTTATACAATAAATTAATGATGCTGATTTATGTACTTAAAATCAAAACTGCACCGATTCATTTAGGTAAAGTTTTCCTACTGCAGAACAGAGATCCCGGTGACAATGAGGTAATGAGTTCCAGCTGTCTTGCTTTTCTTCCTCTGTGTCCACTTCATTCTCTTCTCATTCTTAGTGCCATGCAAAGCATCCTCCCTTCTTCGACTCGTGTTTCAGTGCATGCAATAGCCACTTCCTGTCCTCAGTGTCAACCAATTAATTGTTCAATACCTCTCTCAACAAAGGCAGCAAGGGCCGACAAACAGCAGAATTCAAGTAAGGAAGGGGCGGCGTCTGGTGATGCGGCGGCACCGTTGGAAGAGCAGATAATGCGAGAGACCGGCATCCAAGTAAGCAACCCGCATGCGTGTTTCACTTGTGCTCACAATCGTTGTTGGGCAAACGAAAAGCAAGCCTCAGTCGGGAGCCATCATTTTGACAAGGGGAAGCCATTTTCACCAGGCCAATGACAACATTTCCATGACAATGTTCATTGGGCGAGTTGGTACAGATGGATTATAGATGGATTAAAAGATGATGAAAATACTTTAACCACACAAACGTGGCACTTTTGTTCATGTGGTTAGTCTTTTCCTTTTAGTCTGTCATGCCCTTTTCTTAACAATGCAAACGTTTCTGTATCCACAATGCTCACATACCAGAATGTTGGCTTTTGGCTTTCCCCATTTAGCGATTGTTGGTCACTTGAAAGATTTCGATATCTCGTGAACATTCATTTTTGTCTTCAAGATGGTGATAATGAAATGTTCTATTATGCGAGGGACCAACATGAGGCGTTGCGTTTGTTTGGGGTGACAAGTGACTACTAAAGCAGCATCGTGAATGTATAAGAGTTGCCATTTCCCCTTACCAGGGCACTGGCTCCTACCCGAGCATGGAGGATAAAAAAAATGTCTAAAATGGAGCACCACATCACGCAGCCAGTCTTGGCAAGCAAACATTTTCATGAAGCCATTATCATCACCTTTCGTTACCCTCGAATTGTCGGCCCAACACTGCGGGACTATGATGCTTTGCATACTGGCTGTTGGTGTTGGGTTCCTGGTGGCTTTTAGTCATTGCAAACGTGCTCGGTCATGGCTTTGCATGCAAAATAAAAGCACTAAAACATGCCCTGTGCCCCAACGTAACAATTCTATGTTGGGCTGACTCGTTCGGATTCAATAGTGTGATGTGGCAATCACACTCCTGGTTTTATTCCCTCTCGGTGTAGCTGACTGAAGCTTCCCTTGCCTGCCCACTATTGTTCACTTCATCTTCATTTTTTTTAGTGTTTGGTTCTGGCTTACTCCATTTGTCAATTACTTTTCTAATTGGTGTGTCCTACTGAATAAGAATTAGATACGGCCATAGAGTACAAGCAACATTGTAACAATTTGTTCTTGTGCGAATGAGTAATTGCAGGGCTTTGAAAATGTAATGTGCCTGCAAAGAGGCATAAAAATATGGCTGTCTTGTGCCATAGTTTGGTGAAAAGTCCTGGCTGCGCTAATTAAATGCCGCTACCAAGAGCAGCCTCTAATATTTAGAGAGCCGTGCGACAGTGGAGCGAGAAAGAATCTCGTAAGTGCACTGTCTCGTTGAGCTACCCCACAAAGATGCCCATATGTGACGTCGAAAACACTCTTGGAAGAGGCACACTGTCATAAGGACCCCAGGTGTCACTAGGAACGTCTTACTGGTGATGATGATGCCTTAAGGTGCTGCCAACTCGGATGAAGAACTTAAGTATTTGTTATCTGAGTTGGCAGCACCTCATCACATCATCATCAGCTTACTTTTAAAACTGTATTGTTATACATTCAAGGCGATGTTTGCCATTAGCACTTGGTCATGTGTACCTACGCAAACAAGAGAATTGAACACAGACATTCGAAGTTTCGTGCTTTGGAGAATTTTTTTTTTTTTACTTATTCAATACCGCCAGCCACCCTCTGGCAGCCAAGGCAGGAGTGGTACAGTGCAGAGTTTGAACACAAAGTTTACACGCGACCAGTAACACGATCCGCGGTACACAGGGAAGCAATAATGCAGTAAGCTTACAGATTGTCACTACACTCAAGCACGCACAATCAGTAACACGGCCCACGATTCGCAAAGCAGCTGTGATTCTCGTTACAAATAGCTACGTGAAAATTCAATAATACCGGCAATGCTAGTCTAATGCAAAACAAACAAAGTGCACTACGCGCATTTACCAGGAAGCGTGAGTGTGCGATAGTGGCATGGAAGCAAGAGAACGCGTGAAATACGTTAGCTAAATAGAACAGAGTGTGCCATAGTGGCATGGAAGAAAGAGAACGCGTGAAATACGTTAGCTAAATAGAACAGGGGAACAAGACCAGCACTTACAATCATACACATTTTTGAATAGCTGTTGAAAAAGCATATTGATTAGTTAAGTTAGTAACGTCGCATGGCAAAGTGTTCCATTCTGCTATCGTTTTCGGGAAAAAGAATAGACGGTGAGCGTTTGTTCTCGTGAAAGGCATTAGGATTGTTTTGTTGTGCTCGTTTCGGGTGGGGCGTGACATGTTGAATTCAAGAAAAGTATTGAAGTCAGGCTTTGAATAACCATTGATTATGCTGTGTAATATTTTAAGACGATGTAATTTACGGCGGGACTCTAGTGTTGTTAGGTCAGAACGCCTGCGCAGCTCTGTCACGGATACTGCTGTATGCGTTGTGAATAAATCGCAGCGCTTTCTTTTGTACCCGCTCGAGCATTGCTAAATCCGTCTTTGTGTGTGGGTCCCAAATAACGTCTGCATATTCGAGCAAGGGGTGGACCAGCGTAGTGTATGCAACGGTCTTTGTTTTGCTTCTTTTGTTCTCTTGATTTCGTTGTCTTGTTATTATAGCCACAAACCCCTTGTCTGGCCATGGCTAGACAAGCTGATGCTTACTGTTTGCAATGCATCCTCAGGACCTGCAGTTGATCAAGGAGGCCCTGCAAGAGAACGCCTTCAACAAAGTAGGAGCCATCAGTCAACTCATGACGCGTCGAGCCTCCCTTCCCAACAGGGACACAGGTGAGCACCAATGACACGATGCGGGATCACGCGCACAAATAAATTAAGGAGCAACGTTCACTATAAACAGCACTGATAATCACTAGATGGTGAAAATTTCTTAGAGACTTAACAAAAATGTTGCAGAAGCTATGGTTTTGGCTATCAGAACTTGTCTCCATCATCGCAGCAGTCACCTTGGCAACTACAAGTCCCTGGCTCCTCTGCTCCGATGAAGACGAATGTTGTCGAAATGTTGGCCCCAGCATGCATTCCTTGTTTAACTTTATAACAGTCTCTCTAGTCGCATGAGTGTACATTGTAGTCATTTATGAACAAGTGAGTGCGCGGCCTGCGCTCTGCAGCGGCTGCCTGCAGCACCGTCAACTGACGGCTAAAAAAATCACATTCGCTTTTGCCGGCATCGCCCATTGCATGACTGAAGCAGGAGGATAATCTAGCAGCGCTTGTCCAATGACCACGATTCATGATATTGTTAGCCAATAGATGACGCCTAAAGCAGATGTACTTTCTTCAGATGGCATTGTGGGTAGCTCCCCCAGAGTGCAGGTCAGGTGCTCGTGTATTCCCTTTTATAAACGATAGCGGTGTACATACAGTATAAAATAAATTATTCTTGAATATGCTGGTTGACACTTGAAGATGCCACTGTAGCTCAAGTAACTTCTTGGAGAAACAGTTGAAGCTGTCACGTTGACAATTTTGTGTTATCTCATCACTTGAGCTGCATGGATGCCTTATGAAAAGTGTCATGCTCATTAATATTGTACCCCCGAGTTTACACTTCTTTTCTTGATGCAAAGTGTACAGTTTTAAAATTTCTTTTGTGCTTGCGAATAATGGCAAAGGACTGCATTTACTGAATCTTCAACCACATGCCATGATTTGATTCCTTACTCTGCATGATGGCTTTGCATAGCTAACATGTTGTGCTCATGAATGACTGGTCGTGGGTTCGGTTTTCGGTTGCGGCAGGCACATCTTGGCAGTGGCCAAACGCAAATACACTTATGTGCTTAGTCTTATTACCCTTTTAAGGAACCCCAGGGGGTCATAATGAATCCCGAGCGCCTCCTTCCCCCCCACACAATTGTATGCCTTATAGTCAAGTACTTGGCATGTAAAATGCAGGTATTCAATTTCAATTTTTAATATTCCTTTTGTTTCATTTCTTTCTTCATTTTTCCTCTAGATGACTGTGAGGACGTTGAGTCAGCTTGGAATGCTGACGGGCTGGAGCCTCTGATAGTCAATGAGGGTGCAGCAGCAGGAGCATCGCCGAAGAACGGGGTTACGGAACCCGAAGAGGCCAAAACGAAAGCAGAATCCACGCCTGGTCAAAAGGTAAAATGTCTTGTGTAATGCCACTATTGCTGCTTTTAAAGTGTAGCTGTTGTGGTGGGGTACTAACACCCCCTGTAAAGTTATTTGTGCTTCTTGGCGCACATATAGGGTTCACAACTGTTGAGCTGTAGGTGGCGTTGTGCTCGCGAGCGTTTATTACCACCACCATCATAGTTAGCGTGGTAGCGCTGGCACAGATGCCTGGCTGCCAGCCTGGGTGGTGGCACACGAGAGATGAGCAGGTCTCTTTGGCGCGTGGTGGCTGCCGCGAACGGTCGCCGCCTTCTCGCGGCGTGTGCGTAGGGATGGATGGCACTGTTGGCCGTTTCCCGTGAGCTTGTCGTGGTGAGTCAAGCGTTGGCGATGGTGCCTTCGCAACGCCTTGTGTTTGTTCTTATGTTACGTTGTAGAGTGTATTGTGATATTGGTTGTAAGGTTGTTTTAGCATGTTGATCACTTGTGATGTATTAATTCGGCTTGTAATATCGTGGATCTAAAAGTAGTTAAATAAATGTGTGTTGTTAGTTCGTTTCGACAGCATCTGTTGTGTCCTTGTGTGAGAGCGGCGCTCTCCATGGCAGGACCCCACACTGTTAGTCGGAGTTTCACAGGCATTTCCATGTAGTGAACTCTTCAAGACAAAAAATATGTGTACGCAACAATAATTGTAATCTATATTTTGGGCTTTCTTCGCGTGATGACCGTGCATTCAGTGGACACGAATTAAGTGCAACAGTCGGCTTCATATAGCATTCATGATAAAAAACCACTGGGCGCATAGTATTCAACAAATTAAATTTGAGCAGGCCTCATGAATATTATTTTTGTGTGGCAGAAAGACATGCCAAATGCTAGAGTTTGCCCTAAATGCTGGCGTGCTAGGACATCACTCTATACGAGACAATGATGAATCTGTTTCAGCCGGGTTCCCAAATTGTTGCTGTGAAATGCAGTGATTAATAGTAATAAAATAAAGCATACCTTTGCTGCTTTACTCAGACATACTATATGTTTTTTTTTTTTTGGCTAATAATTCGCAATTATGAATACTGCATACTCTTTTGATGTCTATGCGTCTCTCAAAACCACCGGCTTGAAGTTGTAAATTGTATGTGCCATAATGTAAACGGCTGAAAACTTTGCTGGTGTAACATTTTTAAGAGGTTGATTATTCATTTTGTTTTGTCAAGCAAATGATGTCCATCTCTCCAAGAAATCCAGCTCAAGAAATAGAACCGGGATGCGTGCCACAAGCAAGATAGAAACTCTCCAAGAAATCCAGCTCAAGAAATAGAACCGGGATGCGTGCCACAAGCAAGATAGAAAGAAGTTCTGTGTGGTCTAAAAGTGCACCTGATAGATATCAGAGTTGATAAAGCCATATTCACATTACAGACATGGTTGTGGCTGAATAATTCATGTGACATGACGCGATTCGGATGGCTGTGCAGTCGGCATTCAGATGACAGGGAACGATTTCGGTATTTTTCACTAAAGGTCTCAACATTAATGTGGGTTTTCGTCGTCTCGCAAATCGCTTTGCGCAGACTGAAGCTGTGCCACAAGAACAGGTGACATATGGTCACATGATATGCAGTCCCTGGGCTGGATTTTGATTTGGTTCATTGTGTGAATACAGGTTAGCAAAGATGGCATTCCTCTGGTCTGACTTTGACATTGACTCTTTTCAGAAACGGCTGTCATCCAAGGCGAAAAAAGAGATCAAAAAGCAAGAGCGCAAGCAGCGGAACATCCAGCGCAAGAAAGGGGACAGCAACACCCTGAAGCTTCACAACGAACAGGAGGCCAAGGCGACTGACGTCATTGTGGCGGACTTCAAGTACCTCACCATCTGAACGCCGCGGAGCAAAAGAGACAGCTGCGACCACCTTGCGCTGATGAGATGAAGAAAAAAAAAAGCAAACAACAAAACCTAACACCAAAAGTGAACTGTACAGACATTCCATGTTGCGTGCCTTAACGACCGTTGATGGGTTTCCGAGGCGATGGCGTAGTTCCTGTTCCGATTTCGATGCCGAGACGAAGAAGTCTTCGGCTTCATTAACTTATTTAGAATGAAAGTGGGTTGTGAGTGTCCTCCGCCTTGCAGGACAAGTGTGTAGGCACGTGTGAGCGTCTCGTGGATGCTTCGCCTTTTTGACGGACTCTGGGGGCTGCGACAACGCTTTCTGTTGTTGTTTGGAAAGAGAGAGAGACTTTGCATTTCGACTTTAGCGCCAATCGACCCCTTCTCGTGGGCTCCCATTTCCTATCGTCGTCGTACAACGGAGCGCTCTAGTGTGTTCCAAAACTCTCTATGTATAATTTATTTAGATGACCAATGAAGCGCTGCTCCTGTGGAGAGCGCACATAGATGATGTAAAGATATGATGTTGGCTATAAAGGAGATGACCGTATGTACATGATTGCTTTATTTTTCTTCCCATCAATGGAGTTAATGGATCTTGTCTGGGAGCAGATTACAGTGCCAAAACGGAACACCACAAACGAGTGTGTGTGGAGCATTGCTGGCTGTTCCATCTTGCAACACGGACGCCAACTAGACATGCAGCACTTTAAACAAGCCACTATACACTATCTTGCAGATGGGTTTCAGTGTCGCTGTTTTTCGGGCTGGTAATCTTGCCATTTTGCACGTCAAACAACTAAACGAGCAGTGCTACAGTAAATGCATACGCATGAGAAGTTTAATTAGGTGTATTTAGCATTTCATGACCTCGTTAATGTATTGTCACAACATTCTGCGTTGGTGTATTGTCACAACATTCTGAAAGAAGTAAACATTAATAGCCAAAGGTGGCGGTGCTCATGTGTCGAGTGTAAACTTATCTGCAGACAATCGTGTCTTGGTGTAAACAATTCCACGTGCCGAATACTACAGTACTCGGAAGAGGAGTGCTGAAAAGGGAGGGTAGACAAATGGGCACAGCTCAGCAAGTGTGTGAACACCCACACTTGCTTCCTGAAACTTTCTCACCTATCTGTATGCTCACACTTGTACCCACTCACACTTGAAAGAAAAAAAAATCAATGCACTGGCAAAAATACTTTACGGGCCCAACACACGCAACAAAACAGTAAGAATAAACAGACGCACTAGCGAAGATTTTTTTTAGTTTTTTATAATTTTATGTAGACAGACAGATTTCTGTCAAATACCTCTGGTGCAAAGAAACGGGTACAGAAAAAAACCGCTACTTTCAACGAATGCTTATTTAAAAGCTAACAGAAAAAAAAAAAGCTGACAGTTGACCTGCAAGATCGGCAGGTAATTTTGCTACCTATGTTGCACTACATATAGCGTTTATTTTTGTCCTACGAGGACAAAGAGTACTGATAAAGTTTGGTTTTTGGGAATAGGTTTCTGTTTCCTCTATTATAACTTCTGAAATTTTATTGTCACCTATGAAAAATTCATAAAAACGGTGTGTGTATTGGAGCAGAAGTTTCGATGACTTTGCTTGTCTTCTTCAAGGCTGCACCTCGTGCTACTTATGAAGAAGACAGTCATACCATCTGCTCCAGTGCACACCCCCTATTGATGAATTTTTCTTTGCAAGCTTCCATCTTCCCTATAATTTTTTTTCCTTATTGTCCCCTGCGTAATGAACAACGACACAGTTATAGATATGGTCATTTGTGACGAGTTTTCTCAGCCTGTTTCATTGCTTATTGCCATTTGAGATCTATTTGGAAAGATGCACCCAAGTTCACATACTGCTGGAAAAATCAGCTCAAGTGGTGTGTGTGCACTTGCGAACTGTTGTGCCGTCCTAGGCAGATGAGAGTGTTTGATACCAATGCATGCTGAAATATACATATTGATGGGTTCGGTGCGTCTGCCTCGAGGAATGGAAAAGGTGGATGAAAACCTAGAAGATTCATGAACCAACACTAAAACAATTGACTCGGAATTACATAAAACGGATGAGCCACGACATTGCCCACTAACCTACGCCCCAACGTGGCACCCACCGCATGTGTGCATGCTGGTCCGTCACCGACTTTTTCGCTGGCGTTTTGGCTGGCACGCATCGCTGATGTGAAACACTCCCATAATGTATAGTAAGAGCATAGGTGCGAGTTTATAACTTTGTATAACACAATCTTGATCAGTATGGTAACCATCTTAGGGTGGCAAAAGTAATTGGGTGAAAGTGTTTGTTTAAAAATTTTATTCATAGAAATGAGCTGGCATAATTCAGTACATTTCTCAATAATTAAAGATTGCTTTTAAAGTTATCGTATGTTTCATAGGCTCGAGTGAACATTTGGCCCTGAGAACACTTCTTTGCTCGAGTGAATACAGTTGGCTCTGAGAACAGCTTTTAATTCACCTGAGCACACATACACACAGTTATGCTAAATGCTATTCAGTGGTATGGAATTGCATGATAGCTGCTGCGCTAGTTAGAATACCAGCACGAGCAACGTGACTCGACAAACACTTGCTGTCATCTTTCTGTTGAGCACAAATGTATCTGGTAATTAGTAGTATATAGCATTTGGTAAACAAGCAGCAAAAGAGAAGCCATGAAGCTACACTTCGAGAACATCTAAACAAAACAAAGCATTGAGTTTTCCTCTAAAACCAGCATATGTGTAAAATGTCAGATGCTCTTCAATTAAATGTATTGCAAAAAAGAAAAATATATGAAGAGATTCTGAACAGAGAAGCAGGCAGAAAATATAAGGCACTAAATATGTAGCTGGCTACAGTAGACATTAATAACAGCTGGTCTGAAGTACAATAACGTACACAATAGATTGCCACGTAATACTGACATACATATCTACGTGGCACTTGATATTGTTGTGACTATTTATAGGCTGTCTGCAGCCGATAAAATTTTATAAGACTAAGTGTCTCAGGATATTAAGGAAAAGCACCATCTAAGTGTATATAAAGAGTATTAAGGAGTATTCATCAAAATGCATCTGGTTATAATGAATGCTATTGATTGTGCATATGTTCAAGAATTGCGATGAGTATTTTTAATACCCAAAATTATTGTTGTGACCAATATTGATACTACAAAGTAAAGCGGTCTGCATAGAAAGGTTTGGCTTAATTATATTACTCGTAACTAATGTCACTCTGGCACTTTCACGTCTCAAGTTTTGTTCACTCTTAATTATATGTGTCAGGTGCACATTCATCCACTAAACGAAAGGTTATGTGAGCACACTATACTGCGTTGCACACAACTGCATGTTGTGTCAGAGACAGATTGATAAAAGTTTTACTTGCAATTAAGACGTACAAACCAGTGCGCCCGGATTACCTCCGTGAAATCGCACCCTTTGATGGCAACGCATTTTTTACACTACTATTACATTTCACTGGTACCCAACTTTATGAACGATACGAAAAGGCACACCGAATTGAGGCGAGCATCACTGGTCACTTACAGGTTTAGACTTGACATGCAAACATGCCTCCACCAAATTTTCTTATTCACTGTAATGCTTAATTATGTATTGAGCATTATGTACACTTTTTGTTAAAATTGCGTTAGCTTCATTGCTGGTGGCTGCCGGGCCTGACTATGGGCTGTTTACTGAACTTTCTGCAGCATACAGTAAGTTCCAGAGCTCTGGGAAATGAAAAGAATGTTCATAGCAACGATCTGCTGGTCTGTAGTTTTGTGAGTGGCATAAGATCTGCACCGCACAGGCACGACCATCTACTTTAACATAACCAAACAAAAGTAATTAGTCTGAGGCATGGCCGCACAGAAAGGCAAAGTCCCGGACTCCACAGAGCGAGATTATGCCGTGGTTACGATAGTCACACGAAAGACTCTGTTGAACCTGATCAGCTTCGGAATCAGCACGGTAGTCGATTGAATGGACTACGCCGTTGCTCACAGCGGCATCCGCAAAGATGACAGAGGCGTCGTTGATGTGAACACCACCTGAAGAAACACAGACGGGTAACTCGGTTGTTGAGCAGCATGTCTAGTAGATGTGCTCGGGCATTTATTTTGCAGCTACAGTTATAATATTAAAAAAACAAATTCTTGAAGCAGTTCAATGAAGGCTTTTCAATGGCATTTCAAAAATTTCTTTCTATTCACTCAAATTAGTTTGGTACTAAACCTTTCCTGGTATGAACACCATCATCAGAACTCTGATAATTTCTAAAAATGTCACTAATTACTTTGTGAACTTCAACATCGAGCCCCCACATGTGCATAATAGTGTTAGGATATAAGCACTGCAAAAAAAATTAAACCAACTGTATGAGGTTAGAAACAACAAGTTTCAAGTTTATTTCAGTAAGTATTCGATGCACATTGCCAAATTTTAGTAGTGGGGCCGTTTATAATTATGTACAAGTATTTACGTATACAAATATGTAATTGGTGGTAACAAGTTAAAGGGACACTAAAGTGAAATAACAAATTACGTCAGAGTAAAAGCCCAATGAATGGCAACATTTAAAATGACAATATTATCAACAGCAGTGCCCTATTTACCGAGCAATTAAGGTAAATACACAAGAATACATGCGTCGCAGCAGGACATTCTCAAAATGATACTGATGATGTCAGACGAATTGCCTACAATTAATCACTAGTAAGAAATCTAGCTGCACTGAATAAAGAACCTTCCTTGCTTCAAGAGACTCAATAAAATGCTGCTTGTTCATTTGTTTGATTTAGGGAAAAAAGAACTGCCAAATGTCACTATGGGTAATGGCAGGAATGGTTAAAAAATTCAATTTTCACGTGGTTACACTGGACAGGTCATGTCATCCTAGCGGGGTGCACTTGAACCAAAACACCATCATTGCCATCTAGGAGCCAATGGCAGGAAATTATCAATAGCCTTTGCTGCTGTGGTACCCGCTGATTTCGTTCTGTCTACTAGTGTCGGCAACCGCGCAGATTCGAGCAACATTGTGCACGGCAACAGTGACGCGAGTCCGTCCGGTTCTTGAGACTGGCAATTTGAAATGCGCTAACCCAATGCAGGCCACTAAAACATGATTTTATTTCAAAATAAGCCCTTCTTTGGCACAAGGTAACATTATAAGGTTTCTGGACTGCTATTTCAACAATCGTCTACTTGATAGTTACTTTTAGTGTCCCTTAAAGATACAAAAATTACTGAGGATGAACATCAGCAAAACAACACAATTGTAGCTCTCTAGATGAAAAGTACAAGGAAGCATTTAGCAGTTCTTTTGCTATTCTTTATTTAGCTTATTATTATTTATAGTCTCAGTTAATATATTTGCACTGCAAATGTCAATACAAAGTTGCGAAATTCATTCAGGCACACACATTTCTATTGTTTACAGTATGCCGTCTTTTGGATATTCATTATACGACGACGATATTGCAAAGCATTGAGCATGGTGCTTCCTGAAGCTATCACTTTTTTTTTTTTCAAATAATTATATTTATGTAAACATGGTAAACCGCAACTCATTACAGACATCTCACCTTCATTGATAGAAACAGATAAGTTCTGTCCCTGCAGAGTCTTCAGCTGCCCATTCGTGAGGCCAGGCACTGTACCACACATCGGGCACCACATGGTAGAGCAGAACCTCTGCGCAATTATACGGAAACTGAGTATGCATTTGGAATGTGCACGGTGAAAAATGCTAGAAATGGTAGCAATGCAAGTCTTACTTATATGCGACTAGCAAGGTATTCTCTCGAATATAACAAGAAAGTGATTAACCAACTGTTAAGATCACAACGTGAAGTGCCCATCTGCTTGTTCATGATGCACAGATTACTTGGATCCCACATTCATGTTCCTAATGTATGTCAATGGACTGAGCTGCGAGTTTGATGCTGAAGATGTTAGTGTAAATAACATGGCCCCAAGAATATGCCGGTCACACTGTTATGCACAGTTAATACAATAACTCATACTACAAACGTAAGACGATAATGCATGTCTGCAGCAATAAAGAAGTGACATAGAGCGAGATTGTTGTGTAGGAACACATAGAGGATTGTTGAAATCGAATTGTAAAAGCAGAGCTCTGGCAGAATTTGAAGGCCCAGAGACATCACCAACGAAAAGGGAACATAATAGAAATCACTGGGAAACCGTGAGCACTCTTCATACTACGTCTTGCAGGATGTTCTCATCCAACACTCTTGTTTGTGACTTCATCCTGTACTTGGCAACACTGTCACCGCGGTGAATCTTGTTGCGAATTTCATTTTGTTAAGGAGTTCTTTAAACTGAGAGACTCTCTCAGTCTTGTGGCTAATCCCAATGTCAATCCATTTTCTGTCAACTAGTATAAAAAGAGTTAAACGAGTCTAAACAAAGAGTACACACCCTTTTTCTAGAGCACAACGTTAAAGCTTAATCAGACATTCCTCAGTGCAATAGCTGGAACAAAATTCAGTTTCATCTGTGTCTGCATTGGACAAGGGTAATTTAACTCCTCAACTCCACCATGTGCGGTACTAATGTGGGATTCACCCCAAGATTTTCGAGTGGCACCCTCTCCTGTATGATATCAGGAGGAGGACTAGGGTGTTGCTCTTTGGCTGCAAGCCATGAAGGCTGCTCAACACTGCCACACTGTCTGTCCTGCTTCAGTTATAAAAATAAAAGCATTAATGGTCCAGTTCACAAAACAGTTTGCACTGAATGTTCCGGCAAAGTGCTCCGTAAAATCGAGTGGGGCTGCTGTCCGAAACATGTTCAGTGTCTATTGCTCGGGGTGCCTATTGCTAACCATCAATGTAGAGATCTGCACTTATGACTTGGTTATTCGTTCTCAGACTGTTCTATGGTCCTAGTGCGCTCAAAATAACTTGCTAACTCGTTTTAGATCACCAACTCCCATGTTTGGGATTCTGCTTTCATGTCTGCAGTATAGCAAAATGTATGTGTACAACATGCTGCACGTGTTTGGTTGCCCAGCCTGCTTCGTTGGTTCAATTTGCTGGTCAGAATTTCAAGCATATCACAAACGTGTGATGTCATCCCAATAAGATATTGTTGGACACAACAACCTTTGACGAGATTCAAGTTTCCAGCAGCTTTTGTGCAAGAGCGAAAACTTTTAAAAGACAACAAAAGAGTTTATTTTGCACTAAAAGCTACCGTAACAGCAATAGGATTAAGAACACAAGGTAAAAGGGGATGCAAAATGATGGCAGAAAATACCGAGAGGTTTAGTGTAGTTCTTTTATGCAACATATCTTGCTGCCTGCGTAGATTAACTGATATTTTCTGACTTGTTCACTGTCATCTGATAGTGTTCTGAACAAAATTAGTGCTATCATATCAATGTAGCTAAACACAAAGCTATCCCATCAAAAAATCGTATCAAGATGTAGAGTAAACAGAAATCTCCTAAAGGGACACTCACCAGGCCCCATACCGAGTTTTAGTTAGACAGTGGAATTAATTGGGTGTCCGATGAGGAACATTTTGCCACAAAAATTTTTCGAATCGGTTCATTACCAGCGGAGAAAACAGTTTTTTTGAAGCGGCGCCAAACAAGGATGAGAGGAGGCGAGCTCGAAACCCTTGCCACTCCTCCGCGTAGCCTTCGCAAGACAAATCTCTTCCCCACCCTCTCCAGCATCCGACCATGAGGTGACGTGCTCATGGTGACGTGCTCATGCCCAAGCAAGTGCAACCCCCGAGAACGCGAGCAGCGTTGCTTTGTTGACCAGCATTATTTTGTGGTCTTCTGCCTGTTTCTGCGGGATGGTTTGGAAACGCTAGCTTATACGCGGTCAAGTAGATGAACACAATGAGTGCGCGAACGCGTAAAAGCGTTTCACAGCGGTCGTCTGCTTCATGCGCTGACCGCGGGGACACTAACGCATGCGAAACGCTGGCACATTAGCCTCGCATCTCGTAGGATTTCACGGGAAAAAAATAAAAGAAAGGCACGCACAATTTTTATTGCATCTGATTATTTAATTCAAGTTTTATTATCTCTTAAAGCAACAAATATATAAACTACGCATGTTGTGTTAAATAATTTTTGCCATGTCACGTGGTATACTGTTGACAACGTCAGAGCAGGCTCGTCTACGCCTACGTCATGCCCTCATTCCTACGCGTCATTCCTACGCCTACGTCATGCCCTCATTCTCTACGCAGGCGCCGGCAGAGGGGAGGGGGAGCAGCTTTCATCTTGAAATTTGACCCACTTCCGCGGCGCGTGGCGTTGCCAAGTTTGGCAGACGTGATCATGAACGCCTCATCTACGCATTGCATTTGTCAGCTAAAAATTGTCAAACCTGGTGAGTAGCCCTTTAAATGACATTGCCGCTTATATGGAACGACTGCCTCAAATATGTTAGGTTTCGAACTTGGAATTCCGCACACCTCTTTATTGCTCAGCAAATAAGACTCCTGTCAAATAGAACACATTTTCCTGATCCCTTCAATTTCCGTTCAACGAGACTCTACAGTATTTGCAATACAACGGTGTATATCACTCCTGATGGTCAACGCCAGATAGAGCATGGTGCGATCGTAGTATGAAAGATTCAATCTTGTTACAGCATCGTGAATAATAGCAATAACTGGACAAAGGTGCCAAAAATAGGGTGGAAAAAGCAATCTTTCCTTTATGCCTGCTCTTATTTGCCGATTTTTCCTGTTGTTTACCAAGCTGTACTATAGATATCAGACGAAACGCAAACAGTGGAGCACATGACCTAAGCATTAGCTACTATATAGTAGTGCGCACCTTCTTGTCATTATCATCGACAGGAGTGCACCCGTTTGGGCTAGGTTGGGCAGCACTGTGCATAAGTCATGAGTGTATCTATCCCTAATCAAGAGGGTGCAAACTGTGCCACATTCACGACAGCTGTCACTTCATTTGGCGCCGAAAGGATGTGTAAAAAGTTTTAATATGCAGTGTCAACTTCCACAATCCATGCTAGTTGTACACAATAGCTCGTTGATGGGTGAAATTATTTATTTTATTGGGAATGTTTTGTTAATGACATGACACTAATTCTGGAAGAAATCAAAATTTTGTTCAACTGCGCGGCCTGCCGCATGAAGTGGATACAGCGTAGCACACCTAGCAGTCCAGTTATGCGACTTCACATCATGCGCTTGCCTTTTCATTGTCGTTCTTAGTTTCTGTACATCCCCCCTTGTACGATGCCTTTTTGGAGCCTGCATGGTACCTTAAACAAAAATAACCATTACCTTTCAAGGCTGTAACATTGTTCTTGAGGTGGTCGATGACATCGGGACTCAATTTTGCGAATGCCTTATCCGTTGGGGCAAACACCGTGAATGGTCCATCTCCTGTAGAGTCACAAAGTTTTCTCGAGGTCAAGTTTGAAAATAGGATAAAGTACTTCCCCATGTTTACAGTGCGAAGCAAGACGTGCATGGAAGAAGACAGTCTAGGAAGTCAGCGCTTGTGTATCATCTTGTTGTATTCTTCTTTTGTGTCTTTTTTTTCATTCTAATGTAAAACAAAACAATCACCTGAAAAAAACGAAGCGATGCCGCTCCTTCAAGCAGCTTCACTGATGACGTGAATGTGATGTACTGTCGCAAGCACTATGACAGCGAACACGTTAGCATCTGGCAAACCGTCTCCAATCACAATTTAACCGATACTTTGTTAGCGCTGTGAGAAATTAATTGGAAAGGGTGACATTTTATTGTGAATTGTTGCCGACTTTCACAAGAAGTCTCTTTTAAGATGCACGAAATGTATGACCTATACCCAGCTTACAGTCACGAATGGCCATGATACGCAATGAGCTGTCCTTCTTTATCAGCAAAAGCGAAGCGGGCGTGTGAACACTGAACAGGTAATGGTGCTTTTTCCCCTTTATTTTAGAGAACGGCAGCCGAAAATTGCTGCGCTTCGTATTTAGGCTGCCTGCCATGCATTTGAGCGTACCATCTCATAATACTTATTCATGTCATTATTCGCATGATTCTCTTCATGTAATTACTTAATAAGACGTAAAACAAATTTTTCACGAGAAACCACATTTCAGAAATAGTTAACAGAACATGGGCATATAATAACATGCCTTGAGTTGGTGCCAACCCTGATTCTATTACAGAATAATAATAATAATAATTTTATTTCTGCCTCAAGAAAATACAGTGACAGAGAGCTGCAAGAAAAACTGTCATCGACAGCTTGATTGAGCCACAGCCCCCAAGTACAAGGCAACAGTGAAAGGCAGTTCAAAGCAAAATCGTCACTCACACACAGCATCATGTAATAAAAAAATATAAATAGAACATAAAAGACATCAGGCGTAAACCAAGAGCTGTGCCAGTGGGGCCTCTCCCCTTTTTAATGTGTACAAGACTACTTTTAAAGCATTTACACCTGTTAAAACTCATATTGTAAAACAATAGCCATTAGCTCTCTTGCATGATCCAACAATAGCCATTATCCAACTTGCATGCCCCTTGTGTGCCAAGTACTTCCAGATCGTGAACAGTGCACATGTCAATCGGAGCAACGTATCAGACTTCGCAAAAAAATGGTAGGTGCAGCTTTCAAAAAAGGAAACGAAAGCATGAATGACGACAATTAGCATCTGAAGAGTAGATATGCCTCAAAAGGTGTAATCTCTCTCTTACAGTTTTTTCCTTTTTTATAGCCCGAACTTTTATAAAATAGAAAGATGCGATCCATCTTAATGCCTTGTACTGGTCCAGCGACCTACACACTCTGTACTGGATTATATATGCATCTACATTCAAACTGAGCTTACCGTCGAGGGTGCTGTAGAGGCCAGCTTTCTTGATCAAGTCATTAAGGATCGAGTAAGCCTTGCAGCGACTTAGCTCGTAAGCTGTGCTTCCTTTGAAATTTGAGCAGATCACCTCCGAAAGTACGTGCACGACTCCATTGGAGGCCACGTTGTCAGTACCGGTAATGTGTTTTCCGGAAACCGTTACAGACTGCGACAGAGGTGTACAGTCGCTGGGTTAGTCGGCACGTGCTGAATTGACTCGAGTCTCACATTTTTACTTTTCTAACCGAAGAGCAAATGGGTTTGCTGAACAAAAAAAGGGCAATTCAAGGGCTCATTTTTTTCTGTTAGACACAACCTTCATGAGACGCAGTAATCATGCCAGGAAAAGCATAGGGGACATTATTTGCAGTAATCGCAATATAAATGTGAAGAATTTAAAGCTGAGGAAATAATAACTTGAAGGTTGCACTGCACCTGCAACCTTCAAGTAATGCATCCAGTGCACTACCAACTGTGCTATGACAGCGATCATCCTTCTGTCCATTTCATAGGGTACTATATCTGCACATTTAAACATGGGAGCGCTAGTCAGCACCACTCCTAGCCATCACGACTAGTGTGGCACACACTTTTTTTTTGCCTGCTGGTGCCACGTAGCACATGATCTACAAACGTGCTACCAGCTTTTTCATCATTCCTCGGACACTACCTGAAGGCATAAGGTGTGCTAGAACAAGACCCTCGCTACCACTAAAAAAAAAAAGAAAAAAAGAAAATTAAGAGCTTGTTTTCTTTGTTAGACATGACCTTGATGAGAACAGTGAATTCAATAAAGAGAGTTCATTGCAACTTTTCTGCTGACGAAAGTGTCGTCAAGTTTAGCAGTGCATTGAATTTAGGGCTATGAAATGAAAGTAGCTTTGCAGGCAATTGCTCACTCATTATAGCTGGACACATCATATGAGTTGCTCAGCTGTGAATGTTATCAACAAACTCAAGCGTGCAGTATGATGCAATTTCAAATACCTCCAGTGAAAGCATTTGCACAACCAAGTTATCATTCAACTCTTCTCGCTTCTTCCAAGCATTTTTTTTGTTGTCATTACAGTACGAGATAAAGACAAACAAAACCTTTTTTTTTTTCAGGCTATTAAGTTGTTTTCTCCTTCTCACACATTGTATAGCAATGAATACTACTAACAAAGTCACTAAAAAGCAGATTATGCCCGACTATAATGGCGTGTTTTGATCGAGCTATTTTCCATCTGGTCTGTTTTTTAATCCTTCAGAGATAAATATTCTTGAACAAAGAATGTTGCGCTGGAGCCAACTTCAGAGACAAGTGGTTTTGCCTTTTTTTAGGCTGCAACAGGGGCACTTCCAGGATTTTTATACCGGAAGGGGAGGGAAGGGCACTTACGATAAGTGAGTTTCTTCATGGATGTCTGGGAAGCCGGCAGTTTAGGTGGTGCGTCTTGACGAAGTTTGCCTATGGGGGTGGGGGGGGGGCTAAAGTTGGGCAGGCGATAATTTCTGGGGGGCTCCAGCACCCCCACAACCCCCACTGGCACTGCCCCTTGTAGAGACCACTTGTAGAGACATTGGCTACAACACGTTGTGTTCAAGAATTTTTCATCTCCTCAAGCTTCGATCTTCTCTTGAACTCCCAAGTTTCATCATTTAGTGGCTTCTCATTGGTACACATCAAATGACAAGAAACACTATCCCAATTTCTCCCTGAGCTATGCCTCTACTGCTTGAGTGAGCTGCTACCCTTTTATTTCGCAACACTGCACACTCATTTAGCAATGCTGCAACAGAGCTTGCTGCGTTGCCATTGTATAATAAAATAATCAAGACTAAATCATGGTATACAACAAGTGATCTGGAAGTACACATCATCTCCGATAATTGCATCCAAAAGCATGTGACTTCATTACCTTACGAGTAAGGTAGTGTCTCGACAGTATTGGATCCAAGTATGTTCACTCACCTTCGTCTGCGGGTAGATATTGATTCGCAGTGTGTGTCCGGGCAAAAAGCTTCTCAGCAGTAGGTTGTTCTTCAATTCATTTTTCTTATGCGCTCCAAGCGCAATGTGGTACTTGACGATACTTTTCAGAGGAACATACTTGCAGGCGTCGGGTGCCTTTTCGAAAGCTTCGTTCGTGGGACCAAACAAGGTGAATGGACCTGAAGAATCCACACAAGGGAAATGCAAGTCACTTGTTTCGCACTCACAAACTTGCATGATCACAATCCTTACAAAGGTCACAAGTGCCAGCGAATAGATGCGCGATCGAAAAACCGGACAGTTGAAGTGCTTGTCCAATGCATTCATTTTCATAGGTTGGCACTTTCCTTGTACATGTATGATGAATAGGCTCAACCAACAATCAATATTAATTATTAGTGCATGAAAAGATAAGTTAATCAGTGCTACACAAGAAAAGTCCATCTCAAACTTTAACAAACACTCCACGGAGATCAACTTACCTTCGTGATTCAGCAGTCCTCCAAGCCCAACTTTGATTACTGCTTCAACTAACGTGGTCAAGTTGAGCTTTTTTGCTATCTCGAGCAGGTTAGAACGCTTGGAGGTTACGTTCTGCCATTCAGGAGGTAGCTGTCCCGTCAGCGAGGCGATGGTATGCTCAGTTTCACCGGTACCGGGCACGAAGTTTAAGAAACGCTGCAAAACAGTGCCATTTCCGAGGTACTCGATGTCGGGGTAGCAATAAGAGACGTGCTGTATGCCGACGACAACGAAGACAAGGGCAACTATCGCCTTCATTTCGAAATTCACGGAGGACGTACACACGACTGAGTGTGTATTAGCGCTGACAGACAACCGACTGGCCGTACATGAGTGCGTCTGTTTGCGCACGACCCCAACCGTCCCCTCCCGTTTTCCAGAGGGCCCGCTGCCAGCTAGAAATACGCTCTCTATCAGAGCTACACGAGACTCAAATAAGCAAGATACGCCGTACCCTGAAAATGACCTTGAATCGTCTGCCAGGGTGCAAATAACACCCGGTCTTCAGCGGCGGGGAGCCAGAAAAACCGAGAGAGAGTTGCTGCTACCAGCGCCGGTGCAGCAGGTGACATGCATAGCACGTAGGCAGAACTGCGCGAGCAATGTATTAAACAAAACACTTTATTTTTTGCGCGTTCCGTGAACTAGACGTGGCATGTTTCCACAAGGCGATTGCGGGTCATCCGATACGCTGCTATCACACACGTGTAGCGTCCGCGGTCCTTGTCGAGATAGGCAGCAAGTAGCGAGGGGCCGGCGCCCCGTCCAAAGCACTACTAGCTCTTGGGCGGCGGTGTCTCTTTTTCCTTGTCAGTGCCGAGAACATCTTGTTCCAGCTCCCACAACTCGATGTTCTGCGAGCGGATGGCGTTCTTCACGCACTCCTGGTAGACCTTCAACAGCGAAGCGCAATGATCTTCTTTGCGACCCCTGAGGAATTGTTCCGAGAACCAACTGTGAAAGCACGCGTCGTACTTTTGCTTCAGCTCGTTGCACTCTTCTCCGACACTGTTCATCTTGAACCATAGCCGCTAACGGGCCGTCGACACATAGACGTGAGCCCACGAACTACGAGCGTTGCATCACACAAATTCTAGCTTTTCAGTCACACGCAAACACATGCGCAAACACGCCGTTTTCCAGCTATCATCATCAATCAACCGGCTACCACAGCTAGCCACAGCAACGTATTAAAGCTATAGCCACAGCCGTCGGCAGCCCAGACGCAAGTCAACAGCCAAGACGCGCCAAAATTATATTAGCAGTCATCATCAAGCAAACCATGACCTACTACACCATGACCTACTACACTCCTGACCTGCCCAGAGAGCACCTCTTCCAGCGCCCACGTTCTAGTTCATACCTTCTGCCGCTAGGGCCGTAACTTAGGAGCACTGTGGCGCTAGTCAGCACCTGTTCGCTGACGTCAGCTTGAGTGTTCGTGGTCATATTTCGGCCAACAGAGCACTCATATTGCGTAATTATTATGCACTAATGAAAAATAATTTTGAAACAAATATTTCAAAAGTCATTCACAAATTCTTTGCAATTAAATGGACGCAACATCACATATGCTGTCCTACACTATGTAAGTCTACGGATTCTCGCATTTGTCCACCAGTGTGCAATAAATTTTTCGTCACACTGAACAGCTTACTTGACCAGTCATCTAAGTGAAAAAATAGTCACATATATGCCGGCTGTTCATCACGGAATGCAGCCGTTCTTACTCTAGCGCCGTCCAAACAGCCGTAAAGTAGCAGACGAACAGGTTATAGGTAGCGCCACCTACGGCGAGCGATTGAACGAGAGCGGGGACACGCGCTCCCATAGGAACCCCGCTATCTGAACAGGTCAGGAGTGTAGTAGGTCATGAAGCAAACTACCCGATAAAGCGCGTGTTCCTGCGCCAACGCGCAAATCGCCGATGCACGTCCAAAGTGATGTACATAAGGAGACGTTATAAATTGAGTGTCTAACTCTAACAAAGTGTTACACGTGTTAAACCAACATGTGATAAAGTGTTCATGGCAATAGCCGTACAAATAAGACTGGTTTTTTCTCGCAAACGAGAGAGTGAATGGAACCAGCCACATTACGCGCACTACTTTTATAGAGCGCAATGACAGTGTGCGCGAAAGTCGTGGTTTCGTCTGATCCCATATGCGCCCTGCACTGCACACGCTATTTCTGATGCTATCTCCTTATCGCGTACTCCCGACAGTCTGTTTACATCACCGCGACAAATGTGAACGTTCAGACGAACCGATCATGTTACGAGCATGCAATCGCGAGTAGTGCGCCAAGACGGAACGGCGACTTGACTTGTGACAAGCGTCATGGCTGACGAAATCGGTCTGGAGGCTCAAGAGGATGTCCAGTCTCCTCCTCAAGGTCTGCAACTTCTTCCCTGTTAAACTGAGGAAGTGCTAGCCGGTTGTAGCGAGTCATTGAAAAAAAAAATCCACGTGCTATACGCTTCGTGCAGCCAGCACGATCCAAATGGCAGGTCTTTCCACGCGCGCAGTGGTTTCACTTCGGAATCAGCTGATGTAGCGGAATCTATGTTTTATGAAGGAATGCGTGGCTCGCTCGACGGCGTTTCATGTCGCTACCACGTTTTGGGCTGAGGTTTTGCGTAACGCGTAAGGGCGCAATAATTGCGATGTGACGTGTTGAGATGTCGTTCGATGTTGTGCGAGCACTGCGCGGGATATGGCTGCGTCCGGCTGTCGCAATTTCGCGCGTATACCCGATGCACTCTTTGCTGCCGCGATGCGGTGTTTGTGTAACACCGTCGGTACGTTCACTGTTCGCGAAGTTGCTAGGCACACTACGTGTTCGCGTCTTTCATCATTCGTGTTCCTCTTTGAAGGTGTTCAAGTGCCGCACCGCCTTGGGAGGCCGCTGCAGAAAATTTTGGGAGATGCCGGCTTGTATTCCTACTGTGCCATCTGCGCCCTTTCGCTTCACGACCTTTTCCCGGATGAATGGGACCGGTAAATAGCGATATGTATTTCCGCAGCACCTGTTTTACCTACAATAATAAGTATAGTAATATATATCACTACAGTTATCGCTAAACATTACAAACGTCTAGTGGTACCACTATATATATATATATATATATATATATATATATATATATATATATATATATATATATATTTGTAATCGCCATCATTATCTGCATGCAAAAACTATAGATGGCTTCCATTGACATCACTGAAACCAGCATATGTTGTAGCACCAGCATAGAGGTGACCCCACTAGAAAAAAAAAAAAAAAACATTGACTCCAATTGGTTTCGATTGGCCCCAGTTAGTGTGACCCATTATCCAATAGGTTTCAATTTTTTTAAATTTATATTTGGCAAAATATGGGAAGGTAGGCTACGTTAGAGCCAGCTATCCCAACATCATGACAGTAATGTACAGGATAAACACACAAACAAGAGAAACTTTTTTGACTGGGACGCGATATTTGCGATGTCACATTAAGGTTATCAAAATGTCACATTAAGGTTCTTTAGTTACTCAAGTACAGAGGTATCCTCGCGACTTCATCATCACTTTAAAGCAGGATAACTTCAACTTGTTTGTTTTCGAAGCCACCACCGCAGAATGCTAGCGCATTGAGAATCGGCGTCCATGACATCACGTCAGTAACTATTACACATCACAGGAATTATTATAATGCCTTCCTCAAATGAAAAAGGCTGTCGAAGTTACTGGTACCTGAAAGTTTGCACAGGCAATAACATTGGGTCATGCATAGCCAATGGGCATTCATCGAACACCTCTAGGTTGTGCACGCTTTTGTTGGTTTCAACATTGGTCATAAAAGACCAATACTGAGACCTAAATTGGAAGACACTCTATTGCCTTGCCCCATAAGCATGCCTCTCCGACTTTTTCTTTTTTGTAAGTACAAAAACATTTGTAACTTGCTGTTTGACAGCCTGTCGAGATTCTGCCTTTTGTAATGTGTCACAATATTAGCATGCAGACTAGCTTGTATGTAATCGTGATGCTGTCATGCAGAATGAAATTTTTCATAATTGCATAGAAGTAATGCTGGGCAATATAATGCTATTTATTAAGAAACATAGGGTCACTGCATGCGCGCCTGTGTGTGTCAAAAATACGTTATTTGGCACATCATTATGCTTGCTTGCCTGTGTTTTAATGATGTATAAAGGATACGGACTGTTAAATGCAAAAGAAATACAGGTTGAAAATGTCACTTCATTGACGCTTCTAAACCCTTCGGTCTTCTGAAACGTTTTGATTGTGATAGAAGCTGAGTAGATTACTGAGTAACCTTTACATGGCTGTACATCAAATGCTTTATGAAAAAACTAGTTGCTGCCTATTACTTTCATGCGTAATTAAAACTACCAAGCTCTGTTTCAATAAAAGTAGTTTAATTTTTTACTTTAGGCACTAAAGCGATCGTCGGTCATTGCTCGAGTCCTCTCTGCTAATTTGCCTTTCAGAGAATTTTGCGAAAAATGTCTTCTGCAGCTGATACAGCACCTCGGCCTGCCTTCGCAGGTATGTATTTTCCTGCTCGGCTTTTAGTGCTCTGCGATTACTGTTTTCGAAAACAAGGTATTGCTGGGTTAAGTGACTGGTGCTTTTGAGAAACATGGTAGAAAAAGTTGTCGCCCATGCCGATGCCATGGTGGCCAATGTTCCATGTTTGCAAACATGATTTACCCTGGTGAACACTTTCTAAGCCTCTCCAAGCTGATCCGGTACATATACGAGCTAGGATGGTCAGCAAAAGCAGAGACAAAACAGCAAGGGAACTGCTAGAGGTGTAATGTATTAGAAGTAATGGGTCGGCTTGTGTCAGTGACACGTCGATTGTACACTATTAATCTGAGTTGTCTTTTTTTAATCGACTGCTCGCGTGATGACATGTCCGTGGCAACTCTTTCGCTCCACTGTGCATGGGTGGAAGTTTACCTGTTTTTCATCCTGCACTGGCAATAAACAGTTGGTAGTTTGGTGCCCGTCTTTCCCTTTCCTCCCCTCTTCTTCTTTTCTTTTTTTCATATTCCTAGTATAGTGCCAGTCGCGAAATGTTCAGCAAACTAAGGCACCAACTCGGCCAAGAGCAAGTTATTCTACGGTACAAATGTACAACCTCCCAAAAAAGCTGTTTCCTGCCCCCAGTGGCTCAGTGGTTACGTTGGTTGGCTGCTCATCACAAACATGCATGTTGGATCACCGGGATGGCATTTCGACTGAGGTGAAATGCTGGAGTTCATATACCCTGTGATGCCACCTCTCGTCAAAGAACCACAGGTTGTTGAAATTATCTATGCACATCACAGGCTGAGTAGCTTTGGGATACTGAGCTCCATAAACATAAACCAAGTAACCAAAAAAGCTGAAAGGGGAAGGGCCACAGCTCAGTAGTCGAGCTTAGCATACGTAATGCAGAAGGTGTGGGTTAAGTTTATCCCATCTATGTGATGTTGCCTCAGTGTCCACCTATATTCCACCTTCTTATTCTTACATTTTAATTAAAGAAAATACTAATTGGATAACCCTGCCCTTTTTCTCGTCGTCCATCTTCTGTGGGTGGTTGTAAGGCACCAAAATTCAAGTGAAAGTTTTCCATACCCTTCTAGCTCGGAAAATTCAACAAGAGCTTCCATTTGTTGCAATCTGCCTTCCTGTACAAGGATGCTGTTTGTTGGACAGGGAAAGCTGAAAACAAGGGTGTGAAATTTGTGGACTCTCTTCAGTGGCTACATTTTGAACAGTGGGGCCAATGTGAACAGTGTGGAATTGGAAGGTGCTGAAACTGGAATTAAAAGTAATTGTAATGTAAATGTGAAGACTACTGGTGGCGCTGACTGGTTGTCTCACATTTAAATGCACATATATACCCTATAAAGTGCACTGAGGGATGATCGCTGTCACAGCTCAGTGTTAGAGCATCGGGCTCGTTATTCGAAGGTTGCTGGTTCAGTCCCTGCCGGCGGCAAGTTATCGTTTCATCCACATTTATTTCTTCACATTTACATTGCAATTACTTCTAACAACTTTGGCATCATTGTCTGTTAGTTGTCATTAATATTGTGTCTCACATAGAAAACAAGCCCTTAAATTTATACTTCTTTCCTTCATACATGCCTTTTGATACCACTGCATGCACATTTGTAAATTGATTTCATTCTTCAGCCACAAGCCCATTTACAGTGCATAAAAAGTGACACAATACCCTTTGCTTTTTCATCTGAAACAGCTTACGTTACTGTAATACCTATCTGGTATGCCCACTTGTGAATTTTCTTTATTAGTCTATGTCAGTGTGTAGGCACTTCATAAAACTTGAATGTAATGAAGGCATCTGTACAAGATATGATGCTGTGGGGAAGTTGACTGTGTTTTATATTGTAAACAACAAACAAATTCTTTCCTCGGGAAGCAAAGCCAGTGAAAGCGGAACCAGCAAAACAGGTAACTATGCACCTTTGAAATGTGCAATGCGAAAAACGAGGACACGAGAAACGAACAACAGTTGTGCGAAGCCGCTGTGTGGTGTGGTTTTTTGTGTTGCCTATCTGGAATCTTCATAACCAATTCCAACGTGCCCAAATATCAATTCTTCTGGAACGTGTGACCCTACTTTCGCTAATGTGGAATGCTCCGCCCAGGTGCAATCTGTGATGCAGGCTCTGATGATGGGCGAGGGAGGTGAGGCTGAACCATTCATACACGTTCTCAAGGACGAACCGGGCCTCAATGGAAATTGTTTGCGGATTGTCGAAGACCTCATCCTATTCGCAGTTCAAGGAGGTATGCAGAGAAGTTCTTGAAGAAATTTCGGTTTAGCAGTGTTATAAACTGCAATAAGATGTGAAAGAAACATGGTAGCAGTGGCTTCAAGTTCCCATGTCAACATGCCTTGACTTCATGACCTAGTTATTGTTAATAATTAGATTTTTCATGTGTGGGCTGTTATGACAAGGTAAATGTTAATTGAATTTTGTCTTCAGCTGTATCTGAATGCAGTGTAGTTCTTGACCAACAAAACATTTAGTAAACATGTACACATAACTTGAGATTCACACCATGGCAGCTGGGAATATGAATTAACACTCCTGCACAATTTTTGTGTTGACTTGCTTTCATTAGCGTGCTCTCCTTCTGAGTGCCTCCTCCCCATTTCGTCTTCACTTTTACTGTCAAACATTTGGAGGTGAATGGTAACGATGCCATGCTTGTTTATATGGAGACTTAGGAAAATGGATGGATACGTTTGGAACGGCAGCAGATTTCAGCTTAATATTGATATCTGCTACATTTGCCTTTTTATCTATTTTTGTGCTATTTTGGAATGCAGGACAACACTTTCTTCACCTCAATCTGGCGACATGACGGAATGTGATGTTATAATCTACTCGGACAAGTTATAAGTGGGAATTCCACAAATGTTGATGACAAAGGCCCAAACACCCTGCTACAGATTGTTGCGTGGCTTAGTGCGAACGCTGACAATGCAAAGAAAAGTGGTGCTGAACTTTACTGGCAGCAAATTGAGGCACATATAAGTGGAGACTCACGTACGAAATGAATTGCACCTTGCATAAAGTTGCGTGTATATTGCCAATCACAACTAGTATCTGTTGAATAATGCCTTAAAGAATGTCAATGATGGATGGAGCTTGAACTGGGTTTTGGGCTTGGAACTGCTGGGCTGACAAATCAAAGAATGACTGACAGCGCAATGAGCAGTTCTACTTGAAAAAGCTTCCCGTGGTGTGCCAACCAATGTCTTTAGCATGCATTTCCATGTCACCTCCAATCTTTCACATCCCTTATACTTTTCCAGCATTATATTCAGAAATAGCACTTTTTATTATTACAGAAGCTCAATTTACTAATACGGCCCATTTAGTATGTTTTTTTCCTCGAATGTCCCATTTAACAATTTTTTTCATGTATCCACTGATGAGTGTTTCTGGTCAAAAGAACCAACTCGAATAAGTTACAAAACATGTACTGCTGTGTTAGTGTCCTCAATTATAACGAGGTTTGAGCAGTTTGGTGTGCTGGCAGTATTTGCCACTACACGTTTATCAAACGAGATGCACAATTGAATCTTCACATTTATCTCGTGGCAAAACAGGCTCACTTCAGAAATGCATTGATTCTTTTTGAATATGAGAACCTAGCTGTAATACCTGTAAGTCTTGGTGACATTGAGTTAGGCAGCGGTTGCTTTCTTTGAAGGAAAGGAAAAAAAGAATGTCTGTGGAACCGTCATCAGTAAATTTGTTTGTAGCAGGCAGGTGTGAAATGATTAGCTTATTTGCTAGCTATGTGGTGTCCCAGATATCTGACTTTAACGTTAGCGATTTTGTGCGAATTGTAAATTGCTTTTGACACATCTTTCTCTTTTTCCCCTTCTTTCTACTGGAACAAACAGGACTGGCTACAGGTGTGACAGGTTGCAGTAGCACGTATTTTTTTTTCATCTATGTTGCTGCTCATGATCTTGCATGCATGTGCATGTGCTGTAGGTAGTGGAAGCAGGTAGTGTGCATTCTTTTTAAAAAATAGTTAGATGCACTGTTAGGTGCATGTGTTGAGTCTATTCTAGAACACTTAAGTTACCTATCTTTAAATCTAGTGATATGCTGAAAAAGTAAAAAAAGATGCCTGTGAAGAAATGTATGCATTACACGAAAAAAAAAAAAGAAACTTATTGAACTCAATCTTTTAATAGAGATGCATTGAATATAATGTTTACATGTATGATGTTCACCGTTCAGAATTTTCTCCGGAGAAAATTCTGAACTGAGAAGGTGCCAATAGCAGTATTCCTCCCTCTCTTTTTGTTTTCTTTTTGTTCTTTTCTTTCTACAATGTGGTTATGCAACTCTAAGGCAATTCAGGTTGTAGAATATCGCACATAGTTAGATGTGTTCCTCAGTGTCGTTTTTCAGCCAAGCAACCCTTCTCTGTTCGTGTCTAACACGTTAATCTGTAAAATATTCTAAGGTGAACCACTTCTTTAAATATCACATTTATACTGCAGTCATACTGGGAGAATTGAAGTACATAATGTTACATTGGATAGATTTTTGGTGCCCTGTTTTTTTGTCAGTTTGTAGAACGCAGTTCTATGAGTTTGATGCTGTCATGCGTAGCTAATAAAAGAGCACGCCCTAACATTCTAAACTTGTTTTAAGTTGGGGAGATTTTATTAGCGTGCTGTTCGGGTAGGAAACTTGGCATAGAATTTGGCAGAAGTGGTTTGCTGTACGCTGCATCGTAAGCAAACGAAGCTATGCACCCCCTGGCAGGCATTTGAACCTCAGCCCTGGCGTGATGTGTGCAGTTTGCGGTTCGCTAACTGAAATGTATGCTAGAGCACTGAAGTCTTGCGCAGTCGCCGAGTGGCCGTTAGAGTAACCTTTGTCAGATTGCATCAGGAGTTTAGCACGCGGTACATTCGAGCATGCTTGCGTCAATGTTGGCATGCTTAATTCTGCAGCTTGCTTATGTTACTGGCTGTTTCTTTCAGGCATCTACGATGCTCGAACACGTGTGTTCATCTTTTATGTTGCCTGGAGGCTCAGGGTGTCCCAGTCACTTGTCGAGATGTACGAAGAGTCGGTTGTCGAAATGCTGTCTCAGGAAGTCCACGAACAGTCAGAGTGAGGCTTGATTTTGTTTCATTGTGTATGTGACATAGCTTTTTATTTCCACATTTGGTGTTCTTTTCGTCGCACTTCTCACCTTTTCATTACAAGTTATATTATATCATATTTATACAATCGTAGGTTGAACTACTTTATCAAAAGTTGAAATTTTGGGGAGGGGTGAAAACGGGGTTCGACTTAATTGAAAATAAAACTAGTGCCACTGCTAACGGTGGGAAACAACATTGTTTGCTTTTCAGCTGTGCTTGTAGCACATAATAATTGCACGCTTGTTTAAAAAAAATGTTCTTTTGCAATTACTATGGAGCCGTTGTTCAACGTTAGGAGTGCTGCTGCTGGTTGGAAGTGTGGCTCTTACATTGAAAATCAACGATCTCTTCCTGCGCACTATTTTTGAACTGTTGATAATTGATGTACTAAATAAAATTTATTTTGTGAAATGTGCAATTTCTTTTATAATGTACAGTTTTTGGGGAATCAATGTACCGTATTTACTCGATTCTACCGCGCCCTCGATTGTAACGTGCACCCGGTTTCGACGACAAAAAAAAAAGTAAGACATCGATTGCATCGCGCACCCATTTTTCTCGTTGGCCCGCACGATCACACCACTCGAAAAAACGACTTCCTTTCGGGAGCGTCTTTCATTTTAATATGAGATACGGGGGAAGCTTGTGCCCATTTGACGTGTAACAGAGCAATGCCATCACTGTAGTTTTACCGTGGACCGATGTCAGCACGCGAACTTGCTTCGCCCCCTTCTTCTCAACGGCTGTGGTGCTAGGCATGTCCAAGTAAAGAGGCGTCTGATCGGCATTCCCGATTTGCCCAAGCAGATAGCCGTTGTTGTGCCGCAAGTTTAGGACGAACCTCTGAAAACTGTGAAGCTTTTCATCGTACTCCTCTCGAAACTTTTCGCATATGCCCATTCGCCTTCGGAGGGAAAAGCTTTTTCTCTTCATAAAGTTAGTTAGCCAGCACCTGCTCGCTTTAAACTGGCTCCACATAGCGCTCTTTTCTATTCTAAGGCTAACTGCACAGCCCGCACTTGGAGCAGTTCTGTCGTCACGGGCCGCTGTGCCGCTCGCTGCTCAAGCACATACTCGCCGAGCAGCTCTTCAATTTGTGGAAACCGAACCCTGCTGCGGTCCACTGAAGCCTTTGCGTGAAGCTTGCTGTCGACAATCTTCTGCTTTTGTTTCCGCCATTCCCGCACACACGTTTCGGGAACTCCGAACGACCGCGATGCAGCCCATTTTCGTCTGTTTCTACACACGCAATGACCTCTCTTTTAAAAACGGCATCGTGGTGCACTCGAGTTTTTGAAGTCGATTCTTCCATGCCGTCAATGCTAATGCGCTACAAGATGACGAACTCCTCAGCACACGTACGAAGTGCCGCACTTAGGAAACATATAGGCAGAAATGGCCGACGCACGTAGGGGGCGGCCATTTTGGATATGCCGATGGCAATAGAATGACTATATTCAGTTTTTTTTTTCGTTCCCGATTCTAACGCGCATGCAATTTATGAACTCGCTTAACTGGAAAAAAGGTGCACGTTAGATTCGAGTAGTTACGTATTCAAGTTATATCTGTAAACACAGATTAATAGACAAACGTATGCAAACATTTATTACACGGTTCCCTCAAATTACTTTTTGTGGGCTCATCTGTTTCAGAGAGGAACGAAAGGAAATCGCCAAACGTCAGCGCAACAAGAAGCTCAAGCGCTTTCTTATGATTGGTCTTGCCACTGTTGGAGGAGGTGCTGTCATTGGTCAGTACTATCATTACCCACAGGGCTTCATTTTTACAGCCTTTCAAATGAGGAGAGTTTTACATCACTCCCGCATCCTCAGGTCACATTTCTTTACAAATTTTAGTTAGGATTGTAGCAATGTAGTTTAACAAGCATGATATACAACACACAAGTCTTTGTGAGGTCTTGCCGTGCAGAACAAAAGTTCAAAACATTTTACATCTTTGTCTCTGAATGCTGAACTTATGCCCTGCAGTGGCATTTTGCGTTTTGGAGCTGGACGTTACAATGGCTATTGTATTATCTGTATAAAAATCTTGCATAGTCTAATATTAGTGATGACGCCTGTATGAGCCAACCGTGGTAGAAATATGAAACAGCTCTCTCAACTGCCATGCTGTGTTTCTCTTTTTCTTTTGTCTTGTGTTTAAAAAAGTGCTGTTTTATATTTTTACGATTAAACCTCACCAACCCAGCTATTTGCCTGTCTTCGCAAGCCAACAGTTGATAAACTTGCATGAAGGAGGAATCGAGTGCCTGAAGAGTTCTCACCTCTCGCGTAAACCACCACGCTAGCCGGATTGTTAGGTATCCCCTTTTGCCAGAGCATGCCCGGATAAGTTTCTGTGTCTACTGTCATTTCAGTCGCTGTGCATCTTTTTTAGGGATTAGCCAGTGTTCTTGTTGTCTTCTATTTTGAGTCTGTATTTACACACCCTCTCTCTTTAACATGAATAACTACCAACTATCTCGGCTATCTGTTAGTCCAAAAAAATACACCCTGCATAAGAGCATGTGGTGATTGAACCCTGTCATAGTTGCAACATGTGACCTGAAAAATGCAATCTCATCGTCTCATGCACTGGCAATCACCTCTTTTTTTTTTTACTTTAAGGGGGCCCTGCGTCACTTTTTGAGCATAGTCAGAAAATGCTGCCGATCGGTAGTAGAGGCTCCCGACAACATGCGAGCCGAATAATATAGCCCAGCACGCGGCCTGGAATTCACAATAAATTATCAAAGTCAGCTAAAAATTGCTTTCTCTTCTCTCGGCAAATGACAGAAGGCGCTCAAAAATCACTCGTTTGAAAGCCCATTTATCAGTCATTGGCTTATTTGAACATGACGCGCTCGGTCGTTAGAGACATCGTGTCGCAGAAATCCCGCCGTCGGCGTCGGCCTGTTGGTTGTGAGCGAAATATCATTCGTGGGTGAAAAAGGAAGTTACAGAGATCGCCCAGAAAGGCCGCTACTTGTCCACGCGCGCGCGCACGCGTGATCACAGTGAGAAAGCCGCGCATTCGAAGAAAAAAAAAGTGCTCAATGTCACGAGGTGCAGTATTTTCTTTGCCCCTGCCACCCCTCCCTGCTTAGCACCCAGCGCTTTCGTCAGGACGAGAGAAGAGAGAATGCAATTGCAGCATGCGACAAATCTTTGTAACTACGCTTGCACTCAATGGATTCTTAAAATTTTTGTGACATAGAATTCGTAAGGCAATAAGCTCTTCCGGGGAATTCATTCCATGGTTACTTCAAAAAGTGTTTCAGGGCCCCTTTAACTCACATTGACTTTTTCAGGCCCAAGTTATTTCTGTTCCATGTAAGCAACCGGTTCTGCCAGCCCTTGATCCACATGATCATGGTAGTAGTCCGAAAAATTGAAAACCTTTTCTATCAAAAGTAATTGTGGCCTAATAAGTTATACTCAATAATTATTCATTATTTCAATTCTTTTTTATTAAATTATTATTTCAAAATTTATTTTGATGGCTTATATAATATTCATCAGCCGGAGTTTCAAAATTTTGATACAAGACTAAAATGAGTGCCCCACTTCTGCACGGTAAAAGAAGCAGCTACGTTGGCATAATATGTAGGGCAGGTGCTAAATATGCGCTCTGTTGGACAAGCAACCCTTTCTTTTCATCTGGTAGCTGCTGACGGACATACGAAAACGTTGGTTTGGTATCGCTGGGCCGGGGAAGGTTTGCTACTACTCTCGAATATTCGTATCTTTGATCAAATGGGCCCAGCAGAGTGGCATCATAGCTGCCACCCATTTCATTTGAACTTGCAGGCCTGACAGGGGGTCTAGCAGCACCACTGGTAGCTGCTGGTGCCGGGGCTATCATAGGGGGCGCTGGGGCAGCTGCCTTGGGTTCTGCCACCGGCATTGCAGTCATAGGTTCACTCATTGGGATTGCCGGAGCTGGACTCACAGGTGAGAGCCAATCAATGCCGACTTCACATTGCAGTGTTGCATAACGAATAGTCCTTCGCACGTATTTTGATGTTGGCCCCGAATGTAGAGATACCCAAAAATGCATCGTTATCAGCTCAAGCAGCAAGAATAGCTGGGCAAATATACCAGTGACAGCACTTCTGTCAAAATGTGTCTGGTGCTTTTGAAAGCGTTTGGCTACCGAGCGGGTTTACATTGGTTGTATGTCGCACTTGCGAAATGAATGCACTATAGTCAATCAGATGATATCAAACCGAGGTAAATGAACTTACCCTTTCTAACAGAGCGATTTTTAAACACAACAGTGCTGTAGCATTAGCTCATACAAAAATGCACGGCTACATCAACAAAAATAGCCCGGACAGTTCATACATTGAACCTCGACCAGCACAAAATTCCCCGAGAAGTTTGCCTTATCTCGTGAAAAGTTTCTTTCCTGCGTGCATTCAGGAGCGCGAGCGGTGTGATTAGGAGGGCACTGCTGGGAGAGAGTAGAAAACCACTTGCCACCATGTGGTTTCTCCCATGATCCATTGTCCTCGCGTGGGGCTGCTGTCCACTTCTCAGCTCCCATTGGCTGCTCTAAAATGAAAGGACCTGCTGGGCTCTGCAAAGTAGGCAATAATCGATAATACCTGAATGCAGAAAAACTAAGTCTGACAAAGCTGCTGTGCCAGACATACCGAGAAGCTTGCCTGAGTGCAGTACTGAAATCTAGGCTTACACGAATAGTGAACTTTAGGTTCGAAGCGAATCTGAAGCGAATGATGATTTTCGTAGAATAATTTCAAATCGAATTAGAATAGTATATATATCGCATATTATAAAGAAAAATGAGCATATTTGTCATGGCATAACTAACCTGCACAATATTTAAAAAAAAATTGAAACGAGGCCTGTGCAAATGCCATTTTCTTCCATCAAAGGAAATGGCAGCAACATTGTAGCAGGATTCGACTTTCGGTAGAATGCAAGTGATGGCCTGTAAAGTATGCCACTTATTGAAATTTCCTCTACGTAGAGCATACAAGTCAGTATGATGAGCTTTTAAACTGAATAAATTAATCGATCTGAAGGTAACATCTTCATTTAACTTTGAAATGTGACTTTGCGGCAGGATTTCTTCTGGATATGTCTTTTCATAGTTTAGCACCATTCTATTGCAGTGAAAACACTTTTGTAGGGGGTTACATGCGAATAGATATATATTTGGATAGATGCTTTCATGGCTCATCACCCCTTCACTACAGTGAAACCACGTTTACAGGATGTTACTTGCAGATTATATGCATTTGTTCGTTTGTTTGTTTCAAATAAATCGAAATCTTGAGTAAATTATATTCGATTTGAAGTAAATTTCAATGCTGGATCATTCGGTCAAATATTCAAAGCATTCCAATATTTTCACATACCTATCAAAATCCGTGAGCACTGTGTATTGATCTAGCTAGTGATTGAAATATGCATTACATTTTGATGCCAGGATACAAGATGAAGAAGAGAGTTGGCGAAATTGAGGAGTTTGCTTTCGACACGCTGACTGAGGGCAAGGGGCTGCACATCACATTGGCCATTTCAGGATGGCTGTCTGACGAAGATCCAGGTGACATTCGAACTTTTCATGTTTGTTTATTCATTTCACAAAACACTTGAAACATCTTTCCTGGGCATTATGCCTATGACTGGCTATACTTCACAATTAGCACTAGTACACACCAAGACAGTGACTTACAAAAGAGACGTAGGGTGCAGAAATAAGCACAAGACGTGGGACGTGGAAACATTAAAGGGGCACTGACACAAAAATTTTGGACTTGCGTTTTTTTTTTTGCTGCATTGTGTTTCTGGGAGCCTGATAATCATAACACGACACGTTTGCTGCAGCGCTGACATATAATTAATTGCAGGCCCGTTATTATCGACCAGTGTCCCTTTCGGTTTCAAAAACGACAAGCCACTAGTTTAAACTATTACCACGTAGGGGTTACACAACTCGACCATGTCAGCACAGTGAACTGTGACACTTCTGCGCAATTCGTATTAAGAAGTTTTTTTCGAACAGAAAATGAGACAGCGATGTCATCAAACACAAAACTTTCTAACTCGTGCGCCGTGGCCACGAACTACCGTAATTACTCGAATCTAACGTGCACCTTTTTTCCGGTTAAGCGAGTTCATAAATCGCATGCGCGTTAGAATCGAGTACGAACAAAAAAATTAGGGTCAATCTATTGCCATCGCAAATCCAAAATGGCCGCCCCCTACGTGCGTCGGCATGGTGCGTCGGCTATTTCTGCCTATGTGTTTACCATGTGCGGCACTTCGTACGCGTGCTGAGGAGTTCCTCATCTAGTAGTGCATTAGCATCGACGACGTGGAAGGGCCGACTCCAAAAACTCGAGTGCACCACGATGCCGCTTTTAAAAGAAAAGTAATTGCGTGTGCAGAAACGGACGAAAATCGGGCCGCATCGCGGTCGTTCCCGAAACGTGCGTGCGGGACCGGCGGAAACAAAAGCAGAAGATTGTCGACAGCAAAGCTTCACGTAAAGGCTTCAGTGAACCACAGCAGGGTCGGTTTCCGCAAATTGAAGAGCTGTTCCGCGAGTATGTGCTTGAGGAGCGAGCGGCACAGCGGCCCGTGACGACAGAACTGCTCCAAGTGCGGGCTATGCAATTAGTCTTAGAAAAAAGTCTAATGTGGAGCTAGTTTAAAGCGAGAAGGTGCTGGCTAATTAACTATATGAAGAGGAAAGGCTCTTCCCTCCGAAGGGGAACATGCATATGCGAAAACTTTTGCGGAGAAGTACGATGAAAAGCTTTACAGTTTTCAGAGGTTCGTTCTAAACTTGCGGCGCAACAACGGCTACCTGCTTGGGCAAATCTGGAATGCCGATCAGACGCCTCTTTACTTCGACATGCCTGGCACCACAACTGTCGAGAAGAAGGGGGCGAAGCAAGTTCGCGTGCTGACATCGGTCCACGGTAAAACTACAGTGGCGGCAATGCTCTGTTACACGTAAGATGGGCACAAGCTTCGCCCGTACCTTATATTTAAATGGAAGACAATCCCGAAAGGAATCGTTTTTTCGAGTGGTGTGATCGTGCGGGCCAGCAAAAAAAAAATGGGTGCGCGTTGCAATCGATGTCTTACGTTTTTTTTTTTTTTCGCGGTGGAAATCGGGTGCGCGTTACAATCGAGGGCGCGGTAGAATCGAGTAAATACGGTATTCAGCAGCTGCCGAGTGATAGCCTGCTGCAGCAAACGCGACCGAAAAAAAAAAAAGGGACGGCTATGACGCCGTCATAACTTGCTGCAGTGTGGTCACGTCACGGAAGTAGGGGGTTAATAAGAGTCCCCTTTGAGGGTGTCAGTAGCGCGATGGATTCTATCGCTCACGCAAACTTCAAAATTACTTTAAAATGCCTTCCAAGCTATATTCGCTGTTGATGTTTTGGAGATGATATAGGCATGTTCACGAGAATCGATTCCACAGGCTATCTCAGCCGCGAAATTTTGTGTCAGTTCAGGGGTGGAAACTTGCAACTCGATCACTCACTGTAGTAGATTGACATTGTTTTAGAGTTCTTGTATTGGCCGCATACACCACCGTCATCGCATGTGCGAGCACCATGTGATATGGTATACACACTCACAATATGTATTGTCCATGTCTTACACCATAACAGATATAAGGCATGCGTGTAAAGACTTGTATAAGTCATGTAAGTGAAGAAGATGCCTGTGATTTTTATTTTCTGTAGTGTTCGGTACACGGTCACGGAACTTGTGGCTTCATGCACCTCAGTAGATTTACGTTGTTACCAATAAGCCAGGGGTTCTATAGCATGTTGATCCCAGGGAACACGACCAAGCTCCATCAAGTGTCAGGGAACCCCTCCCTCCACCTTCTCGCTTTTATCCAAGCATTCTTCATTCGAGTCACGATTGCATCCTCATGCAATAAATATTAAAAACTAGTATAAATTAAAATTCACTCACTGACGCGCAACAGAACTCGCTTTCCCTGCACCAACAAATGCGTGTGAGTAGTGGAGGTTCTCTGAATAAATCGCACGGTACGTCACCTGAGTGACTTGGCGAGTGCAGAACCAGGAAAAGTTATGGTTGGCTCGTGGAACCTCGAGGAGGGGCTTGTGAAACCACTAGGTTCCACGGAACCCACTTTGAAAAACCATGCTCTAAGTTAGTGGAGGGATGTTCATGAGCCGATATCTTCCTCAAGATTATGGGAACGGATCCCTCTTGCTCGCTCATCTTCTGTTAAATCTCACATAGGCAGCAAGGCGTTTTATCGCAGCTGTGCTTGCCAAGGCTGGGCAAGGAATTTCTTCTCAGACACCGAGCGGATTGAACCGAGCCGAGTGGCATGTGTTGAATTAGGGAAACAGTTAAAGTGGTGGTCAAGAAATGTTCTTTCTGTTGTCCATTCTTCAATGTTTCCGATGGAGGCGGAAATGTTGTTGGCCCGTGTGCTCAGATTTGGATGCACGTTAAAGAACCCCAGGTGGTTGAAATTTCCGGAGCCCTCCACTACGACGGTTCTCATAATCATATGCTAGTTTTGGGGTGTTAAACCCCACATATCAATCAATCAATAAATCAATCAAATCTTCAATGTTTCACTAGGGGACACCCTTATATATCACTTCAGGGGTCTCTTGTTCTCAGAGAATTTGATGGGGTGTCATTCCAACAAGTCTATGATGTTATCATCGTGTCAGACTTTTTCTTTCCAATGAGTAGCAGATCTCTTGTTGCATAATATGTTGAAATCTAGATTAGTGTAAGCTTCTTGGGAAGTACTAGAAAAGTATTTGTATATAGTCCAAATCTTGGTATGATCTGCACCAACAGTCGCAACACTGTAAGGAACATAAAATGTTGTTTATTTGTTCTGAATTACTTTCATTCGAAGCTGCTCTCGATAGCTTTCTTGGTCTTTATTCTCTCTAAGCGTCATCCAGTGCATTCTTGTGGAATGTGTGAAGCTTTGAATTTGTTCCATGACCTATGTTGGCAGCACTCACAGCAGCCTGTGTTGAGTGCCTCTGAAGTGCGCAGGTCTCCACCAATGTCTTAAAATAAGTTAATTTTACAAGCTAAGCTTCGCAAGTGACCTGCTGCAACCATAGCTCTTGGAGTAAGGTGAATAAGAGCACAAGGTGGTAGGCTTGATTCCTCTCTGCTTCAGTTACATTGTAAGGGCAAACGAAACAATGTGTGTTATCATGCTTTTCATGTATGAACTCCTGGCAGTCGAAGTTTATCTGAAGCTCCCATTAAACAGTGTCTTTCATGACCTGGAGTGTTGCTTTGAGGCGGGAAATCTTGTACATAACGTTTTTGGAGATGGTAGACTCAATAAAATGCCGACACGTTCAATACATTGCAGGGGCTTTGAAGAGGCCGTGGCGAACGCTTATGAACTCGCGTGAGCAGTATGTGCTGCGATACGAGTCGTCCTACCTGCTGGAGCTCGGTCACGCCATCGACTACCTGTTCAGCTTCGCCGTTTCCATGGCAGCCCAGGAAGCCCTCAAGTACACCATTCTCTCAGGTTTGTTTCTGCCTTTACCATCATCATCACAATCATCCGAACTATGCTCGCTGCAAGGCAATGCCTTCTCATGTTTCTCCAACGGACCCGGTCCTGTGCACGCTGCGTCCATGTTGTCTCCATAAGCTTCTTAAATCTGCCCACTTAATCTGCCTTCCTTCGAATCCAGTGTCGTGCTTCCCCTGTGCCTAAATCCTCATTCCCTCCTTGCAAGGCTTGTAAAGAGGGCTTACGAAAATGGCGGTCTTGTACACGATGTCAGATCAGATGTAAGTGTTCTACCTAGTTTTCTTTTTTTAGTCGCTGGTAATGCTGGCTTCAGAGTGGCTTGAAAGCTGGCCAAGTTTTAGCATGTTGCCGCTGCTCAAACGTATGTGTTGCAGGTCACACACCTTGCATATGGCCGCTTTACAACAACTTTCGAACGATGTTTCTGTAATCATTTGTAACAGTGTATTACTGTAAGAATATCATTTTTGCTTTGTTAATTTTCACCTTTGATTTTAAACCTTCACGGTGCTATCAGAATTGTGGAAGGTAGAAAACCCGAGGCACTGGGCCGACCGAAGTGAAAATACGAAGCACGCATTCGAGTTGTGTTCTTACTGTCAGAGTATAATACTCAGTTCACACAAAAAGCCTGGCCACTGTCAAGCCACTGATAGCTGCTTTATTTAATTCTCCTTAGACCGCTCTTAAATTCTGATCATCGCCAGTTTAGTACAGTCGCTGACGGATTTATTGGACTCGAAAAATTCTGACTTGTTGGAAATTTTGGACTTCACAAATGCACCGTCAAGGTTCCCATTGCACTAATGCATTTTTGCGACCGATTTTTCAGACGAATATTTGTTACGAATAGTTGAATTTTCCAGACTAAATTGTTTGTTTTGAGTAGACGTGTGCGAATAGTGAATTTTAGGTTCGAAGTGAATTCGAAGAGAATAGTGATATTGGTCGAATAATTTCGAATCGAATTCGAATGGTATGTATGACATACTAAAAAGAAGGAATATTTATCAAGACCTAACTAGCCTGCACAATATTTCTTTTGATTTGAAATAGAGACTCTGCAAATGCCATTTTATTTTTTCGTTCAAAGGAAGTCGAAAGCAACCTTCAGTAGTAGTTTCGGTAGGATGCGAGGGATAACCTTTAAGATACTTAACGTTTTAAAATTTATTATACTTGGAGCATATAAGCCGTCATAACAAGCTTAAAAAAATGAAGAATTGATTTGAGGGTAACATGTTCTTTTAAAGGGGCCCTGCAACACTTTTTCAAGTAGCCATGAAGCTAGTAAACATGCTTGTTGCTTCACAAATTTTACCACAGCAAAGTTTCTAGGAATCAGTTCAGTACGAGCGGAGTTTTAAAAATTTGTCGCACGCTGCACTTGTATTCTCTGTTCTTGTCCCAACAAAATAGCTGGAAGTTAAGCAGGGAGGAATGGCATGGCAAAAGAAAATACGTCACGTGCACCTCGTGACCTTGAGCACCTCTTTTTTTTTTCTTTGAATACGGGGATTTTCAGTCCGATCGCGCACATACTCGTGGACAAGCGGTGGCCTCGCGCAGCAATCTCGGTAATGACGAGCGCGCCATGCTCAAATCAGCCAATGGCTGTAACGAGAGCCGTCTTGGCTGTGACAAGTGATTTTCGAGCTTGTAGTGTCATTTGCCGAGGGAACAAAGCGATTTCTAGCTTTGAAAATTTATTGTGAATTAAAGGCCGCGTGCTGCGCTATAATATTTGCCTCCCGTGATCTCGGTAGCCTCAACTACCGATCGGCAGCGTTTTCTGACCGTGCTCAGTAAGTGTTGCAGGGCCCCTTTACATTTGAAGGGGGGATTCGCGGCAAAGCGTCATTTTTAGATAGGTGTTATCACAGTTTAGCATTTGCACATTGCAGCGAAACTACCTTTACAGGTGGCGACATGCAGATTAATATACACCTATTCGTTCATTGCGAATACTTCGAAAATATTCAATAATTTAAATTCGAATCAAAGCAAATTCGAATACTCAACCATTCGTTTGAATATTCGAAGCATTCGAATATTTGTGCAAGCCTAGGTTTTAGCTATGCTGCTTGAGTTTGAAAGCCGCCTTATTGCGGCTTTTTTTCTTATAATAACCAAGGAACATTCATCTTGAATACGACAAAGGAAGAAGACAAGCCAGGATAAAAATGCTCAAGCAGATACTACAATGCATTAACAGCAATGAAGAAGATGCTAGATACACGGACGCAGCGGCTTACCTTACAAATGACTGTTTTGCTATAAGCGGTATCGGCGAAAGCGGCAAAGAATTGAGAGCAGCATGCACACATGCTAAGGACGCGAGTACAGCGGAAGAGCTGGGCCTAGCCCTGGCCATCATTACATGCAAGAAGACGCGGGTTACCCGGATAACAGATTCGCAAGAGGCGTGCAGAAGATACATGAACGGAAGGATTAGAAAGGCAGCACTACATGTCTTGAAAAGTACCAAGATAAACAAAACAACTATCCTTTAGACACCGGGACATGGGTCTCTCGTGGGGAACCAGGCGGCGCACACCACGGCTCGAGATCATGCACGCCGAGCCATCTCCGACACGCAGAAAACATGCACCGATGGCTGTCACGACGAGCATGAGCGCATACCGAAGAAGTACGCAGACATATTGGCACACTACAGAAAGCAGAGGAAGTGGTACCCGCCGGGGCACAAGAGTCTGAGTATGAAACAAGCAGAGATATGTAGAAGACTACAAGCCAGAACTTACCCGCACGGAACGTTGATGCAGGCAATGTATCCAGAGACCTTCAGGCAGGGACTGCAAGTTTTGTCCGACAGGCGCAACACTCAGCGCCACATAGTGTTAGAGTGTCGCAACAATCCGGACATACCGACCGTCATCACCGGCCAAGTGCAAACGAAAAGAAAGAAACAGATCCAGAGGAAGTATTTGAAAACCAGTGGGAGGATTTGCTAGGTGATGCAAGGCCTTGACAACCAGCTACGATTGGTGAACCGGGCTCGAGCGGCGCCAGCGAGCCATGGCTACCTGGTCTGAGGAGGCCACCAACCTTAGGGCTGAAGTACAAAGAGCCTGGTCCAAATAAAGTTCACTTCATTGATTAGCTTGGTCGAGTTTGGCTTGCAGTGGCTAGTTGTGTGGCCTTCAAGATTGGAAGCGTGCACAATCTTTCAGTTTCGGAGGCCATGCCTGATTTTCCTTGGCTACCAAAACTTTTCTCTTTCAGTCAGCTTTATCATCATTATTAATACGCCAGTAGGTTTTCATTTTATGGGCGTTTGTTTGTGCTCCAAGTGTGTTTGAGCCGTTGTGCGCGTCACATGCTGCTGTTTGCGGTTGCTCAGTAGCACTTCGTGGTTACGGTGCTCGACTGCTGAGCTGGAACACGCTCGTTCCATCGCAGCCGAAGTGGTAACGTTTTGATGGTAGAAAAATCCTGGAGGCTCACGTACTGTGCGATTTTGGCACAGGTAAAAGAAGGCCAGGCCAGACCGTGTTGTTAATTCTCCCCGAACAGGCGAGCGTTGCATGCATATTTTTGTGATCGGCATCAAGTTTTGTTTGCTTGGTTCTATGGAGCCACCAACTTAGCCATCTGCAACGGCAGGCTGCAGCGATTGCCAACGCGCTTGCCAATGATGTTACTGTAGCCAAAATAGAACCAAGTTTGCTCTTTCAGCAGCATAAAGCATGGCATTATTGAAGTTTTCTTTTTTCTTAAGGCTTTTCTAATCTAAATAAACTTCATTTGGCTTGACCATATTATTTTAAGATTTTTCGGACTATTTCGCAGTTCTTGCCAGGTCTGGAAAATCGGTTGGCGACTTTATTTGAAATGTTTGATGAGGTGTGTAACAACTGGTCGATTGCTGCCTCTGCTGTGCTACCTCGTAAGCTTGTGAATATTAGGGGATGAATCTTGTGCACAAGGGCATCAGACTCGGGCTACTCTTGAAATGTATAAATATTGAGAATGTTACTGCAAAAAAAAAGATCAAGACTAGAAAAAAATGAGATGCCACAGTATGTGTTGATATGACTATTCTTGACCGAGTAGTGTCGCTGTAGCCAACGTTTCTACAAGTGGTCCAAGGCAGCATATTGTAACGCGGACTGAAAGAGCGAGGAAGAAGAAGGGATCGGACGCTCTCAAGTGATGGTGATTCGGCAGTGACGGTAGAGCGCTGACATTTTTTCAGTGTAAATAAACCCATCACATCCGTAACAATATGCTTACCTTTGTGCACACATTTCAAGTAGGGTCCTGCTCATTATGAGTCTCAGCATGGTGGTCATTGCTGAAGTGGCTCCAGGCCTGAACAGGGACACCTGCAAACAATAAATTGGTTTATAGAATACCAAGAACTGAAACATTGTTTACTTCAGTAATTTTTGCTATTTTGGCGCATCTTTGCAGCGTTGGCATGACTTTGAGTGTAGACATGTTCCAACTCATATTGGGTGCGACTGCACATGTGCAAAGGGAGGCAGTTGTTGCCCTAATAAGGAATGCAGCACCCCACTTGTCGATGTGTTAGCTCGAGTGATGCCCACTGTACGAGGGTTTTTCATCTCTTCAAGCTTCCGTCTTTTCTTGAACTTCTGCCCCAGTGCGTTGTAGTTTTGAATGTTTCTTCTCTTTCTGCATATAATGGTGAGATATTTGATGTGGTGTAAACCTAAAACACTGCCTGTCGTACGCAACAGGTCTGATCACGGCCATCACATGGCCTGCCACCTTGGTCATGGTGGCCGGGGTCATCGACAACCCTTGGGGCGTGTGCAACAGGAGGTCTGCCGAAGTGGGCAGGCACCTGGCCGAGATCCTCCTGGCACGACAACAGGTGAGTACATTTGATGCCTTCTCCGTCTTGAAGTGCCATTATACCATCATTTTATTTATAAATTGACTTGGGAAATTTGAGTTTCAAAGTGAATTTGGGAGAATAATTTTTGGGTCAAACAGTTCAGATGGTATGTATCACATAAAAAACGGTATCCATGTCGTTTTCCAAGCGTTCTTCCCCCTCTCCATTTACCTATTCGTTTAATGGTTGCCCTCTCGGAATTGTTTCACAATACAAATACCTCGGTCTCCTTTTCACTCAGGATTTATCTTGGTCTCAACACATCGATCTCATGTGCAACCGTGCGCTTAAAAAATTAGGCTACCTACAACGCACTTTACGTTCAGCACCTCTCAGCATACGTCTCCTCACTTATAAAACACTGGTTCGTCCAATATTGGAATATGCATCTGTTGTGTGGAACCCACACAAAATTTCGGACATCAACAGAATTGAATCTGTTCAGAAGAAAGCTGTACGCTTCATTTATCGTCGCTTTGACAGGTATTTTTCACCAAGTTCCCATCTTCATATCTTACAGCTTACCAGTCTATCTTCCCGTCGACACGTTGAATGTTTGAAATTTCTTCATACCTTAATTCCCCACGGTTTCCTTTACTCAGCAAATATATAGCACACGCTAGAACAACGGCCACTTGAAATTACCATGAGTTAAACATGTCTACCTTTGCTCATCGTACGATGGCGTTTAAATATAGTTTTTTTGTTCATTCTATTGAATTGTGGAATTTTTTGCCTGGTTACGTTCGATCTTTATCACTGGATGAATATTTATTGTATATTACTAACCATTGATGTACAGCGCACTTGTTATGCTATTCTATGTATGTATTTGCCTACTCCTGCGATAGCCCTGTGGGGCTGCAGTATGTTGAAATAAATAAATAAATAAATAATAAAAAGAAAATTAGCATTTTTGTCATTACCCAAGAAGCTTGCACAGTATATTTGACGATTCGAACAGGCGTGTGTGAACGTTACAGTTTTGGTTCAAAGTAAAGTGGAAGCAACTTTGAATTGTAAGAAAGTAGGAGTTATGAGTTATATGTTGCATTTAAAATTTGCTAAATTTAAGACCTGTAAGCTCGTCTAACATACTTTTAAGCTAAAAAGAAAAATTATTAATCGAGGTGCTGGTTTGTGCACTTAACCTTGAAGTGTAGCTTCGCAGAAGTGCGAATTTATGCTGAAAGGGTGGTTCTGTGACGCAGCAGCCACTCGCTGCACTGAAACCTCCCCTACAGGGCGATACATGTCAAATATGCGTTCGCTCATTCACTTCAACAACATTTTGAATAGTGTAAATATGTGTGGAAACTATTTCAAATGCTGTGGTATTCATTCGAATATTTCCCCCATGCCTAAAATTGACAAAGTCGTTTGATTTGTTCATGGGATACATCAGGAACTTATTGAGAAGTAAAAAAACAGAGTGGAGCACTTCGACATGAGCAGGTGACAAGACATTTGCCAAACACAGTTTGGTTTTTCGTCCAGTCTTCCCGCTATGTCTTAGTGAATTATAATGTTATGATTATTATTTTTTTCATTTTTTAGGAGCCAATAGTGCTACAGCCAAATTGATGACATCACATCGACAATCATAGCTGGTGCGCACATCCATGAACATAGTCATGCTGATACATCCCCATCAAATTTTGTACAGCAGGTTCGATCTAGCACTTGCAAAACTGGTTCAGTATACAAAGTGGGATCATTGTCTAAGGCAGTGGTCTCGAACTCTCATTAGCTACCGGCAGCAACCATGAAATTTAGTCCCACAAAGGGCCCATGACAGTCAAAAGAAGGAAGCAGAAGGCAGGGGGAGCGGGGTTGAATATGAACTAAATGAAGGTCAATGTTGTCATTCGAAAGGAGGTGTTCCTGATATCTCATTTACGTATAGTTTATTCAAACGATTTGACGTTAAGGTTTAAGAGACATATTAACATCGATCTCCACAATGCACAAAATCCGGACTGAAGTGAAGAGTTCTTTGTTATGTTTCAACGCAAGGTGACCGCATGGAGTGCCTTACGAAAAACAAAAATTAATGCTTGAAACCAGTCGCGTCTGTAGAGCTTACCTGAAGAAACAGTTAGTAATTACAATAAGCAAGGAAAATTATGCAAGCACCATTTAGCAGTGTCAAAAACACGGTTTTGGGACGTCAAACCCCAAATATTATTAGTGTCATAAGCCGCTAGCCACAATGTCATAAGAAATATGTGATGAAGAGTGTCATGTGCGGGCTGCAGGCAGCTTGCAAAGGGTCGGTGGGCCGCTTGCGGTCCGCTGGCTGCATGTTTGAGACCCCTGGTCTCGAGTATTGTCAAGAAAATTATGTAATCATTAAAAAAAGTTCAGAAAATTATACAACTTATGCTTCCCCAAAATACTGAACCTGTATCTTTTTGCAGCACTATTGTAGCAAAATTTTAGAGGTGACTATCATAACCCAAGTTTTCCTCTTTATGAAGTGCCATAAGTTGTTGCTTGCTTAGACTTTGTCTTGTTCCGGCCTCATTTATTTTTTACTTTCCCTACAGGGCAAGCGTCCTGTTACTCTAATTGGCTTCAGCCTTGGTGCTCGCGTCATATTTTACTGCCTCAAGGAAATGGCTAAGCGAAAAGGTGAGGGCGATTGTTAAAAATTTTGCTTTAAGTGTGACACAAACACATCACAATGTCCTGGTTGGAGTCACTAAAGCATTAAAGTTAGTTTCATAGATTTACAAATGAAAGAGCCATTTTCGCGAGAAACTAAAGGTTTCATACCGAGCCCTTCTAGACTGACACAGTTCAGTCTATAAAAAAGAGTGCAGTCAAAGCCTCTATCATTGCCAAGTTCTTGCTGAGGGTAGAGGCGATTGTTGGAATGTCCATTAGCGATGGCCCACCAATAACCCTAGCAGGTGCGGCCCATGTCACGCACACAAACACACACGCACACACAGCCTTCTCTTCTATTTCTCCACTGTGACGTTGGTCCGGTCAGCCATGCCCATAAATGCTACCTGCTTACGTTAGAAGTAGTGTGTGTAGTTTCTGCACAATCTTTCCGTTTACTTCCCTTGTCTCATTGTCTCGAGATTTAATTTTCTCTGTTTACTCCCAGGATGCGAGGGAATCGTAGAGGATGCAGTCCTCCTCGGAGCCCCTGTTCCAGCTCACAAGGAAGAGTGGAAACCGATGGCACGAGTAGTTGGGGGAAGGATCATCAACGGCTACTGCAGGTGAACATTGGAATTCAAACATTGTTTTACAATTACTGTGTGACTCAGGGGAACCCTGGAGTACGTTTGATTCTTGTGTAGTTCCTTCATTATAATCCCACCAAACCTTCTAAGGGCAGACATGCATTATGAAGTCAGATCACATGTTTATTGCACACTTATTTAGCGACTCTTTTTTTTCTCTTGTTAGGGGAGACTGGCTGCTCAAGTTTCTTCACCGAACATCGTCAGCAACGCTGAAGATAGCTGGTCTACAAGCAATTCGGTGGAATGACAGACGAATGTTCAACATCGACTTGAGTGATGTGGTTAGTGTTTTCAAGAAATCTACCTGTATTAGCATTACGGTCTTTTAAGGATGAAAAAAAAAAAAAAGCTTGCAAGAAAGTCATTTCTATTTTTTTGCATTGAAACAAATCTGTGATACATCAAGTAATGCCAAGTGAAAAGTTTATTGGAGAATAAATAGCGGGGGTTGGCTTAACTACGCTCATCTAAATCTAGCAGCATATTTCATTTATTTACACGTTTCAGTGCAGTGCACATTATTGCCAAACCATTGACTCGAAGTTGAGCTCTATGAACCACCACACTTTCTTTTCAATTCATCAAGACTCTGAGTGGTCACCTTTCCTTGTTAAGATTCATGCTATAATAGACAACCAACTACATGAAAACAATTTGACAACAAAAGTTTGTTTTCACAGCATTACATTTCAACAAGCTCTTGCACATTTACAAAAAACCAGCAGTTTTCAAGCAAGTATTGGTGGCCCATCATAGAAAGTCAAGTTTCTATGTCTTCACATCTACTGTGAAATGCAGTAGGCTTTATATGAAGGGGTTTAGTGATTGCCAAAAGAAAGTGCCATTCTGATTTTTACAGGAATGACCGCATTGAAAGCTTCCTCTTGATGTCGTACTCCAAAACTTCTTTTTGTCTGAATATCATCCGTTGGCGTCAGGGGGATTTTCTCATGGGTAGGGCAAAGCTGTGTTGCATCGCAGCTGGGGAAGTGCGAGGGGGAACACTAGTGAAGCTTGGATGAGTAGGGGTAAGTGCTGATGTGGCTCATTTGGGGGGGGGGGGGGCAAGCGCTCCTTTTGCACCCCTCTGCCCTCGCCCATAATATTCCTATTTTCTCAGGAATGGCCGAATTGAAAGTTTGATGTCGTACTCCAGAACTTCTTTTTGTCTGAACATCATCCATGGGCGCCAGCGGGAATTTGTCATGGGTAGTGCAAAGCTGTGTTGCACCGCAGCTGGGGAAGTTTGCGGGGAGGGGGGGGGGGGGAGCACTGGCGAAGTTCGGATGAGTAGGGGTAAATGCTGATGTGGCTCATTGGGGGGGGGGGGGCAAGTGCTTTTTTTGCACCCCTTTGCCAGCGCCCGTGATATCGTGGCTCCTTACTTTGTATACATACATCGTCAAAGAAACATGATAGTTGCACATTTTCCTGGATTCTTGAGTTCAAAACTGATGTGAATAGGAGAAGTAGTGAGCAGAAAGTCGGTTCTGATTACAGGTGTCTGGGCACACCGATTACGTGAAGAAGATGGATATCATTCTCAAGGCCGTTGGCATCCAGACCTGTGACGACGTGCTGGAAGCTGACCCAAGCATGCGCAAGTCGAAGTCTTACGCGCCAGACAGGGACGAGAATCTGCGTGATCCCCAGATGCATCGCTCGAGGTCCGACTCTGTGCTTTGCACCAAGAAGAGTGCGATTGTGGTCAGTCTCTTTTCTTCTTTGTTTTTTTCTTCAAACGAGAACTGCCTTATTAGACTGCTTTGGCAGAGCGCTTCTTGCGACCTACTCCACTCATTCAGTTAGTGAGAGTGCTAGTGCACACACAATAAGTGTCCCGATGCAATCATGTGAGTGGACCAGTTCTCTGTCCCTCTACAGCCCCTCCCTACAGCAGAAGTGTGTACAATTGTACACATCAGTCTGCATGGTAGTGTAGAGGTTACAGTGCTCATTTGCCAACTTAAAGGTCGCGGGTTCGATCCCGGCCGTGGCGGTCGCATTTCAATGCGAGGTGAAATGCTAAAGGCTGTAGACGCTTGTCATGCACTACGTGTTAATTCAGTTGGTTTGAAATGCAATGTGCACATTTTTGTACATTTTCCGATTGGGCTACAAGTGCTAATTTAACTTCACTGAACTACATATTGCTGCAGAGAATAACTTCAATGAAAACACTGCTGAATTCAGCAAGCTGTTGGACGTGCCCTATTCTGAAAGCCACGCCAGAACTACAACTTTTGTCGACGTTAAATGGATATAACCAATAACTGATTGCCAGAGTACTTCAAGCCCAATAAGTGACTATACTTATTCAAAAATGTAATGTGAATGCCTTCAGAATAAATAGTTAAATAATTACGTGCTTATTGAGATTAATTACCGACAAAAACTCAAGAACATATTACCCCCTCTTGTTTTTTTGCAGTATCAGGCACATGTAAATAAATTGCCTAAATTTGACTCATTTACAAACAGTCAGTCATAATTATCACCCAAAGGGAATAGATATCGCCGAGCACAGCATGCAAGCGCTGCGGTTGAGATAGTAAAAAAATGCAAGACGGCTGCTCGCACTCCCACAACCGCGGCGCTCGCCACAGAATATGTGTTAATATGCTTGAGTGAGACGGACTGTCCAACAAAACATGGCCACTGCAGTGGCTGATTGGTTACGGGACTTGGCTTCTGACCTGGAAGACTCTGGTTCCATCCTGGTTGCAGTGGTCACATTTCGATTCAGGCAAAATCCTGAAGGTCCGCATGTGTTGCAGTGGCTTTGCACTCACAGAATCCAAGGTGGTAGACAACACCCAGATTCGTTCATTGTGACATATCTCGTAACTCAAGTCATTTTGGGATGTTAAACAGCACAAACCCGACCAAAACGTACACAACAAAATGAAACAAGCGTGGTTATGAAAATGGGATTTCGTCAACGAGCAAGCGAATGGCATTCGAGATCCTTCAGCTCCGCTGTGCAATCTCACACCTTCGCCTGGCAATTCACCTGTGCTTACCACAAAGAAGTGACAAGTGTGATGTCAGGCATTATGAGATTCCTACAATAAAAGACACTGCTCGGCATCGATAGACTTTAATATGGCGTATACTATGCTTGTGGGAATAGTGAATTTCAGATTCCAAGCGAATAGGGATTCGGTTGAATAATTTTGGGTTGGATTCAAATAGTATATATCACATATTATAAAGAATGGGCATATTTATCATGATGCAACTAACCTGCAGGATATTTTTTAAGAATCGAAACAAGGCCTGTGCAAATGTCATTCTTTTTGGTTCGAAGAAAGTTGTAACAACTTTTGAATACACTCAAACCTCTATATAGTGAACCCGAATATAACGAAATGTCGGTTATAACGAAGTAACTGAAGAATGGTTTTGCAATAGATACAATAATATTAAGCTTTTATAACGAATTTTCGGATATAACAAACTTCATTTTGTGTAAGATGCAACTTTTTTATAACGAGGTTTGAGTGTAGTACCAGGATCTGACTGTCAGTAAAATACAAGTGATAGCCTGTAAAATATGCCACGTTTTAAACTTTATGCTATGTTTTAAAGCATTTAGAGCATATAAGCCTGTATAATGAGCTTTAAAACTTGAAAAATGATGAGGCGATTTGAGCGTAATGTGTTTACATGACTTCAAAGTGAGGCTCCGTGGCAGTGTTGATTTTTCCTGGATAGATGTTTTCATGGTTTAGCATTTCTTTCGTGCAGTGAAACCGCATTTGCAAAGGGGGTTACAGGCTGGCATTTATTCGGTCATTTTGAATATTTTGAAACTGCCAATAATATTAATTTGAATCAAAGCCAATTCAAATACCGTAATATTCTCTCGAATATTAGAAGCACTTGAATGTTGGCACAAGGCTAGCATATACTCTTTGATGTAGTTTCATTCGATACCACCTTGAAGAGCAAAAAGCCTAGGGCTAAGCTAAAACACTTGGCTAAAACGAGTGTTTTTCTGGTTTCAACTGCTCGGATGAGCATGTATAAGTGAGAGAAACAGAGAAAAGGAATCATTCAGCTAAATATTTCCTACCGTGCCCCACTGATGATGGCAGCGCGCAGTGTGACATGCTTGCAGCAATTTTTTATGCCTGTCTAAGTTATGCTGTAGTAGTGTTTACTTCTTAATGGCTGGCACGTACATTTTCTCGACATCGAAGTTATTTATGTCTGGTTTCGCTGTGTTGTTATGCTGTTGATGCTTATTTTCGTAAATTTGATGTACTATACCTTGGTACACTATGTAGCAGTCAACTTATTTGCTATTTTCGTTTAGGAAGTTATGTGGTCAGTGAACCAGCCACCTATTTAACTTGTAAGGGTTTCTGGACTCTATCAAGCTGTTAACGGCAGCTTTTATTCAGCAGTATTATTCCAGGAAACTTTTCCTTACCCTACTAAAGTAGATTTAAGTTAATTAAATAGCAAAATAAATAAAAATTCAAATAAATAAGACCATTAAGATTAACCTGTCAGGATGCCCTCTGTTGCTAAGCACGTCACTGGTTTGCTTCATGTGTGTGTCATCATTAGGCTGCATCATTACAACCTCACTCTTTTAAGAAGTTCAGGAACACCAACAGTATAGTTGACTACTGTCAGTAATGTGGGCAATCGATTTCACGTGAAAGTGGCTTGCTTTGCTTGTACTACACGCACACCATATCTTCCTCATCTAAACAGGCTTGCCCTTCAAGAGAAAATCGTCACCTGTCGATCACCGACCGGCCGCTGAGCTACTCGCTGGAGAGCGTCTTGAGTCGAAGCAGTTCGGCCTTTGGTGGCAGTAGCAACGCGACTGCCGACGGCCCCCGACATTGGTCACCCCGCGATTTCCTGCAGTCGACGCGCAACCTGTTGAAAACCCGTGCACCGGTTGCTACCACGGCCGTGAAGGATGACGACACGACTAGTGGTGTAGTCTCCACAGCTGACAGCTGGGAGTGGTCGGCATGGGAAGATGAGGCACCCGCACTGGCCACATCTCACATGAAGCCTCAGGCCTGACTCCTCCCATGAGCCACGCCTAGTACAGTGCCATGGGGCGGGGGTAATGTCTCTCCTTTTCGAGTCCTTCGCTTGTCATGCGTGTATGCTTGTGCAGAACAGTTTGTTTGTGGTTGGGGAAAGTCTATTTGTGTTTCGGAAAGTTGACTTTCTAAGCATTCAGCAAAAAGTAGTGTGCATTCGGATTGCGACAGACACAACGGGTAGTGTGTGAATCTGGAGCCCCTCCATCTTCCGAAACACGATGGGGATGGTCAAGTAGGCCTTGGAACCAAGTCGGCAGCTCGCGACATCGAGGGGAGAGAACGAGCCATTTCTTCAAAGTCTCCGCATCCTTTACGTGCTTATCCACACGACGTGATCGGCTACTTCTGAAGCCGTTTCTTGTCTGTATGGCTGAGGTTTGGATGATTGCAATTGTACTTGGCAAGACTAATTATGAAATGGAAGCGCACAACGTAGAAGCAGACGGAAAGACAGGGACAAGCGCTAACTACCAACTGAAAGTTTATTCGGAAAAAATATGAAATATATACTAAAAGATGATACAGTGTCAAGGCACATACGATAACACCAAAGCATAGACCAAAAATGGCAACACCGATAGAATATCTTAGTGCGTCAGCCCTACCTTACCATCGCTTACTGTGCTTTACATTGATTAGTTAACTTCTACGGCATCTGCTAATGTTTAAAAACGCTAGCTCCTTATCGGACAAAGCGATTGATGGTTTGCTGACGCAAGCCCCGTGTTCCGCTATGTGTGCTGCTTCAATTATAAGCCTTGTGCGCTCATCTTTGTGCTTTTGGAGAACTACTGTCTTATCAAATTGTACTTCACAGCCACATCTAGTGACATGCTGGGCAAGATAACCATCATTGCCGCTACGAACATTGCACGCATGCTCACGCAACCTGTCGTTGAGGCATCTTCCAGTTTGCCCAATATAACAGGCACCGCACGAAAGTATGATCATGTAAACTACGTCACTAATGCAGTTGACAAAACGGTTCCTGTGCTTTGTTTTACACCGCTGTTCCCTGTGTCTAGCGCCACATGTCAGTCTAGCCAGCTGAGAAAGCTTGTGTGGTGCAGAGGAAACTACACGCACTCCCATGCGCTGCCCCACCTTTTTCAGGCGGTGGGTAACCTGATGCATGTAAGGGACAACAGCTACTCTTTCTCTTTCTTTTTCGTGGGTCCTGTTGTCACGTCCTACTGCACCATGTCCCTGGCCATCTTTAGCTCTCCGTTTTCTACGGATACTTTCGGCCACGGACACCAAGACCGCCTCAGGATACCCTGCTGACTTAAGCCTAGCCACCTGATTGTGGAAGCTGGCCTCCATTGAATGCATACAGGACCGGTCAAGTGCATTAGTGAGACACGTACTCACTATGCCTCTTTTTACAAGTTTGCTATGAGCCGACGTGTACGGCAGAAGCGGTTTCCCCGCGCGTGGCTGGAATTCCCAGCAGGTATGTTCAGCCCTAAACGTAAGCCTGAGATCCAAAAACCTGATTGACGAGTTTTCCGGCATTTCATGGGTCAATACAAGTGGACCAAGGTATTTCTTAAAGAGAGACAACACATTATTGGCATGAGACACAAAACCTCGAGGATCACACTTCATTATGACTAAAAAATCATCAACAAATCGAAACACTTTCTTCGCTGCAGTGCTCACTAATTCTTGATTAACGGCCCTGTCCATTTTCGCCAACAACAAATCACTCAATATTGGGGCCAGACACGACCCAATCGACACGCCCTGTTTCTGAAGATACACGTTGTCATTCCACTCTACATATGTGGAGTTGAGATACATGCCCAATAAGTCTAAAAAACCACGCGCACTCATTCCTGTGCTGTTCTGAAATGACACTCCACCGAATTGGTCAATGCATTCTTCAATACAAGTGAGCAACGCATCATGAGGTAAAGATCTTTAACATCTATTGAGAATGCCATGAGACCTGTGTTAAACTCTTGTCGGAAAAATTCGATAACTTCATCCGACTTCTTAATTAAAAATGGGTCATTAATGGTGAAAAGCTTCATCTTATCTTGCAAAAACACGCCTACATTCTTTTGCCAGGAACCACACTCAGATACTATAACTCTAAAAGGTACATCAGGCTTATGTGTCTTAGCTGAAAAGAATAAGTTCAACGAAAGTTTATCGCACCTATCGAACTTTTTCACTAAGCCTTCTAAATTGAGTTCTCGGCACAGGTCCTTTGCTCTTGCCTTCACTTTTCGCAAATCGATGCCGGTGAACGTATCGAACACGGTACTAATGGCGGACTGCGCTTTTTCAAAATACTGCCTTTTGTAAGCACTGCGAAACCTCCCTCCTTGTCTGAAGGCACCGCACAAAGATCATTGTCAATTAGAAAGTTGATTGTCCGGCTTAAAGGCAGGTGACTGCTGACGGGCTTACCGCGTTGAAGTATGTCCAGTCCTTCCGAGATGCACCGGCCAGAGTCTTCTTGAGGAACCTGACTAGATACACTTCTAACAATGGCTAACAGGTCCGGGGGGTCTCGCTTCTTCACAAAGGCGAATTTTGGGCCTAGGCCTAACGTCCTCTGCACAAAGTCGGGAAGCACCACTTTACCAACCAAATGCACTGTTCTTTCACTCTGTTGTTTTCTTCTGACTTCAGAACGCAGCTTCCGAAGCTCTTGAACCCATAAGGAAGCAGAGCTGTCTTCAATCCTTGCTGCGAATTCTTCAAGCCTTCTTTTCCTCTTGTGCGAACGATGTTCTTGAAGAACTTGTAGCTTGAGCGACTCCCGGTATAGTCGAGCCTGCCGATTCCACTCAGAACGCAGGATTTTGCAAACCCTGATTCCGTGACCGGTCGAAGGGCTGAACCCACCAAATAGTGCTTTCACATCTTGTGGTATGTGCCTCTTACGAATGCAGAACGCTAAAGCTCTGGCTCGGCAGGTAGCTAAAGCGATGAGAGCGCACAAGGCAAAGATGAGCGCACAAGGCTTATAATTGAAGCAGCACACATAGCGGAACACGGGGCTTGCGTCAGCAAACCATCAATCGCTTTGTCCGATAAGGAGCTAGCGTTTTTAAACATTAGCAGATGCCGTAGAAGTTAACTAATCAATGTAAAGCACAGTAAGCGATGGTAAGGTAGGGCTGACGCACTAAGATATTCTATCGGTGTTGCCATTTTTGGTCTATGCTTTGGTGTTATCGTATGTGCCTTGACACTGTATCATCTTTTAGTATATATTTCATATTTTTTCCGAATAAACTTTCAGTTGGTAGTTAGCGCTTGTCCCTGTCTTTCCGTCTGCTTCTACGTTGTGCGCTTCCATTTCATAATTAGTCATGTATCACCAACTCGCCCAATCAACCATTTTGACAAATTACGTTTCTAGTTCTTCGGGCATTCCTTCGTCTGTGTTCCTTCATCCCACTATTTTAATCACTCTCATCGCTTTAGCTACCTGCCGAGCCAGAGCTTTAGCGTTCTGCATTCGTAAGAGGCACATACCACAAGATGTGAAAGCACTATTTGGTGGGTTCAGCCCTTCGACCGGTCACGGAATCAGGGTTTGCAAAATCCTGCGTTCTGAGTGGAATCGGCAGGCTCGACTATACCGGGAGTCGCTCAAGCTACAAGTTCTTCAAGAACATCGTTCGCACAAGAGGAAAAGAAGGCTTGAAGAATTCGCAGCAAGGATTGAAGACAGCTCTGCTTCCTTATGGGTTCAAGAGCTTCGGAAGCTGCGTTCTGAAGTCAGAAGAAAACAACAGAGTGAAAGAACAGTGCATTTGGTTGGTAAAGTGGTGCTTCCCGACTTTGTGCAGAGGACGTTAGGCCTAGGCCCAAATTCGCCTTTGTGAAGAAGCGAGACCCCCCGGACCTGTTAGCCATTGTTAGAAGTGTATCTAGTCAGGTTCCTCAAGAAGACTCTGGCCGGTGCATCTCGGAAGGACTGGACATACTTCAACGCGGTAAGCCCGTCAGCAGTCACCTGCCTTTAAGCCGGACAATCAACTTTCTAATTGACAATGATCTTTGTGCGGTGCCTTCAGACAAGGAGGGAGGTTTCGCAGTGCTTACAAAAAGGCAGTATTTTGAAAAAGCGCAGTCCGCCATTAGTACCGTGTTCGATACGTTCACCGGCATCGATTTGCGAAAAGTGAAGGCAAGAGCAAAGGACCTGTGCCGAGAACTCAATTTAGAAGGCTTAGTGAAAAAGTTCGATAGGTGCGATAAACTTTCGTTGAACTTATTCTTTTCAGCTAAGACACATAAGCCTGATGTACCTTTTAGAGTTATAGTATCTGAGTGTGGTTCCTGGCAAAAGAATGTAGGCGTGTTTTTGCAAGATAAGATGAAGCTTTTCACCATTAATGACCCATTTTTAATTAAGAAGTCGGATGAAGTTATCGAATTTTTCCGACAAGAGTTTAACACAGGTCTCATGGCATTCTCAATAGATGTTAAAGATCTTTACTATTCTTTACCTCATGATGCGTTGCTCACTTGTATTGAAGAATGCATTGACCAATTCGGTGGAGTGTCATTTCAGAACAGCACAGGAATGAGTGCGCGTGGTTTTTTAGACTTATTGGGCATGTATCTCAACTCCACATATGTAGAGTGGAATGACAACGTGTATCTTCAGAAACAGGGCGTGTCGATTGGGTCGTGTCTGGCCCCAATATTGAGTGATTTGTTGTTGGCGAAAATGGACAGGGCCGTTAATCAAGAATTAGTGAGCACTGCAGCGAAGAAAGTGTTTCGATTTGTTGATGATTTTTTAGTCATAATGAAGTGTGATCCTCGAGGTTTTGTGTCTCATGCCAATAATGTGTTGTCTCTCTTTAAGAAATACCTTGGTCCACTTGTATTGACCCATGAAATGCCGGAAAACTCGTCAATCAGGTTTTTGGATCTCAGGCTTACGTTTAGGGCTGAACATACCTGCTGGGAATTCCAGCCACGCGCGGGGAAACCGCTTCTGCCGTACACGTCGGCTCATAGCAAACTTGTAAAAAGAGGCATAGTGAGTACGTGTCTCACTAATGCACTTGACCGGTCCTGTATGCATTCAATGGAGGCCAGCTTCCACAATCAGGTGGCTAGGCTTAAGTCAGCAGGGTATCCTGAGGCGGTCTTGGTGTCCGTGGCCGAAAGTATCCGTAGAAAACGGAGAGCTAAAGATGGCCAGGGACATGGTGCAGTAGGACGTGACAACAGGACCCACGAAAAAGAAAGAGAAAGAGTAGCTGTTGTCCCTTACATGCATCAGGTTACCCACCGCCTGAAAAAGGTGGGGCAGCGCATGGGAGTGCGTGTAGTTTCCTCTGCACCACACAAGCTTTCTCAGCTGGCTAGACTGACATGTGGCGCTAGACACAGGGAACAGCGGTGTAAAACAAAGCAC